TGGTTTGACATATACTAACGAAGATTGTTGAGCTCCTCCATATTGGGCTCAGATCGTATCTGCAATCATATGCTGGAGTTGTTGGACAGAGAGTGAAGCAACAGAAATCTGAAAAAAATCTCGCATGACATTTGCATCACGGCTCGATCATCCTGCTCTTGCTTCTATTTTTTTTCTAAAGATTTAGGATTTTTTGGTGTTTTGGTACCAGATGGATTTGGAGTTTCTTGACTGTTTCCTTTTAAAGGTTCTTGTAATTTGAGTCGATTCATTAGTACGGCAATCTGCATGTTTTTACCTTCAAAAGCTTTGGTCAATCTTTCGATCATAGTAGTAAGTTGCTGAAGATGTTCTTCAGATGAAGTGAATTCTGTCACCATCATGGGCACAGACATATCAGAGACCGAGGAGTAATCACCCCACTTTTGCTTAGGAGAAGTCTCGGATTAAGATTCGGTCTTCAAGCCTGTGCTAGAGTGTGTGTCGGGTAGAGAATCGTCCATTTTTTCCTCTAGATTGATTGAAGAATAGGTAGATTGTCTTTTTTTTGTTGGAAGAGCCTTTTTTTTACTTTGCCTGGAGCAATGCTCCATCGGTGGCAAGAGATAAGATTTGTTCGCCTTTTGTTCTTGCGCGGGTTGTTGGAATTAACTCCTCGACTATGTCTGCTAACTTGTCAGTGGGAGGAATCACAGTGTCTTTAGCTGTCATTGCTGACAGACTTGTTAACTTTTTGACTTCAGAGATGAGAGGAAGAGAGGGTCCCACTGGGCGTGTCAAAATTTGTAACGACAAATTTTGTAATATAAATTAACACAAAAAAGGTCAAGTTACAATATTCAATTTAATTGACTTTAAGTAAATAATGTAGTATTGACTCTCTTCGGTGTGCTTCTCATGTGCACTGTCCTTTGATGCTCAATGAATTTGATGACGAGGGCCAGATCGGCATATTTCTTGATCTTTGATTTGTTGTTGACTTTGGTAGATTTGGTGAAGACAAAGGCTTGACCAGCGGGTTCCTCAATCTTCGATTTTGGTGATACTTTGGTAGATTTGTTGAAGACGAGAGTCAGATTGACGTGGTTCTCGTTCTTCGATTTTTGATTTGACTTTATCGAATCTTTTCACCGTTCTTTGTGTTGAATGACTTAAGAATAATTTGGATCTTTCTTGAAGAAGGATCTTGACGGTGTTTCTTCTCCTAAGAGATAGATTTGCAAGACCTCAACTGGGAATAGACTCTGGCAGAGCTTCGCTATTGATCTTCCCTTCTTCTCCTGAGGTGGACTTGGGCAGTGTTTTCTTGATCTTCCCTCCTCCTGAGCTTCTCTTGCCCCTCCTTCTTGGCCTTCCCCTAGACCTCTATTTATAGTGCTAGAAGTAGTTATCTATATAAGAGTATTTTTATCTAATTACCCTTATATGGGCTTTAGGTAATAAACTACCCATAATTTTGTGGGCTTTTGTATATGGAATTTAAGGCCAGTCCAGTTTAACTTTTAAAAGTTTATTTAATTTGGGTCTATGGAATTTGAGTCCATTTTAATTTAGCAAGCCTGATTAATTACATTTGAGCTTGTATTATTTAGGCTATGGAAATTAGGTCAAGTTTAATTTAATTTGACAAGCCTTGTTAATTAAATTTGGGCTTGTATTATTTAAGTTATAGAATTTAGGTCCAACCTAAATTTATTTATCTAATTGATTTGAGCTCAATTATTGACATTAATTTGTTAATTAAACAAGGGAGTAGCCAATGAGGCAGTGGAGCAAATTGCTTATGCTGACCGCATTATAGTAAACAAGGTGCATTGCTGTAATTTTTTCTTCTGTATGGTCAGTATACTCTATTTTTGTTTGGGTTTTTTATTCCTACCTATCTATCTACACAATCTTTGGTCTTATTGAAATTCAAAATATTCGGTATTGAGCATATCTAGCATTTGAAGAAAACATAGGTCCAAAAGAAGAATATATCAGCTTAAGCACTACCTTCAATGCAAATCAACAAGAAAACAAATCAAGTCATCTATTGGGACAGAAACCTTTCACTCTAATTTTTGTTTGTTGGTTTCATGGTTATCTTTTGATGAAATTTTCAATAATTTGAACAGAGATAGCAGTTAGGTTTTTTGTTTTGTTCAGCGATGAGGTATTTTTCAGAATATTAAGTAGAGAATATATTATATATGTCCGAATATTTTGATAAATTCAACGAACAAATGTCCTACCTTATGAATCCGAAGCAACTTCCACTCGAAACACCAAAGATTTTATCTCTTCACTCGAACATTTGAATCCAAAGTAACTTCAATGAATCACCAAGGAGGCAACTTCAATCAATCACCAAGCATCTTCACTCGAAACACTAAAACGTCACGCTACCAAAACTCCGAGAGAGAGAGAGAGAGTGGAAAGAGAAGTCGATCGTGAAGCAGGAGCTGCTAGGGCTTACCCAAAACAACATTGGTTTTATTTTTTTTAAATCCCAAAAACGATGTCATTTTAGTTTTTTTTTTAAAAAAAAATTATATTCTGTGACAAAAATTAAAACGTCGCAATTAATATTTTAATTTTAATTTTAATCTTTCTTTAATTTTGATTTATAAATAAAAATTTTATATTCTGCGACGAATATCAAAATGTCTCGAATTAAAAAAAAATTATATTCTGCGTAAACCTAAAAAAAAGTCGCAAAAAATATATCAAAAAATAATATTCCCGACGAACTTATAAGAACGTCGCTAATTAATATTTTTATTTCATTTTTACTTTAATTTTGGTTTAAAAAATAAAATTTATTTCTTGCGACAAAAAATTAAATGTCACCAATTAATATTTTGACTTTATTTTGGCGACGATTTAATACTATCTCCAACAAACAAAATTCATCGTAAAAAAATGTCAACTCCCGCCATTTCTCAAAATCGGGAGGGAATCGCCATTTTGCAATGCAATTAGAAGAAACGACACAAAAAATTAACAAAATAATTATAAAATTGTTGTGGATGAACGATGTCGTTTTGGTTGTGTTGGTTTTTAAAAAATATATTCTGTAACAAAAAATATAGCGTCGCAACTAATATTTTAATTCTAATTTTAAATTTTAAATTTTAAATTCTGTGACAAATATAAAAATGTCGCGAAATAATAATTTTATTTAATACAAAAGTAAAATTTATATTCTACGACGACCTTAGAAAAACGTCGCTAAAAAGTAAATATTCTCGACAAACTTATAAAAAATATCATGAATTAATATTTTTATTTTATTTTACTTTAATAACTAAAATTTATATTCTGTGACAAAAAACGTTTACTTCGCGAATTAAATATTTTGACTTTATTTTAATTTTAATTTTAGATTATTTCTTTTTTGTGACCAATTAAAATTATCTGCGACAAAAAAATTTTGTCGTAAAAAATTATCAATTCCCACCATTTCTCTCGCCAAAAAAATTGAGAGAGAATCACCTTTTCGCGATGCACTTAAAAATACGTCGCAAACAATATTCCCAAAAAAGAAATTTGTAACAAAATTATAAAATTGTAGCGGATAGTACACTTTTTGCTGACAAATTTTAAAAAAACGTCTCAAAAAAATATATTTGTTGTAGTGGCAATGTGAAACAAATAATTATGTCTAAAATGTAACTGTCGTTATTAGTTAGACATGTTGCTAGTATTGAATTTTTTGTGTATGAAACATTATTTTTTCTTCACATGATACTTTCATTGAGTTGTATAACTCCCCTCCTACCAGTCTACATAATAACTATGGCACTGTTTGCTCTATTACTTTATCTTTTCCCATTTGTGACATGTTTGGTTTATATTTAGAATAAGGTGTGAGTTCATTATATTGATGTCTGTCTTGATTGGGACTGGGTATTAATGTATGGTATTAAATTAAAAAGAAAAACGTACACTTTCATGTAATTAAATTCAATGCCAAGTCAAAGGTGCTTTTGTCATTTTTAATCCTAATATCAAGTAGCATTGATGTTGTACCACCTATATCATAGGGATCTAGTTTGTACACGAATGTGATATTAGTTGACAGTATAACATCAAGCCAAGTCAGTATTAGCTTGTGTTATAAGACAAGAGCCATGTAACTTGTTTCAAATATGGTATTTACTTTGGACTAATTTCTTTAAATCCTGCCTTTAATATCCAAAACAGACATGCCCTTAATAAAAATTTTGCATGGGATTCACAATCAATAGAGGGTGTTGTTTTTAAAACTGAAACCTATAAGATATTGAATCGAGCATCATTTATTTTAAATATAAAGGTGTTTTGACTTTATTGAATCTAAATTTACCCTTATTAGGAAAAAAATTTTCCCGATCTTAGTTCCTTGGATCCACGTATTTCTATTGACAATCATAAGTATCATTTTGTTGGTTAACATTCATTTAAACATTTGAAGAAAAAAATGTAGTTTTTGTTGTGTCTCCTTAGAAGAAAGAAAAACCTTAAAAATAGGTCAGATATATAACTAAACGTAGATTTAATGGAATCTACTTAGTATTCATGACATTTTCTTAATTTATTTTTTAAACATTTCATTCTGATATGATTTAAAATTATAGAGTTATGAAAATAATGATTTAAGCAAGAATTCATTGTAAACTTATGGCATTAGTCTATATGTCATTGAATTTCTTTCATACGTTCATGACAATGATTAATAAATTTAGTTATTTCAGTTATATGGCAATTAGTAAATGCTGTAGAGGTTTGGCAAAATTTATTGTAAAATTGCAATTGTAATTTCCACATACTCACTTCCCTCGGTTTATTTAGACTATATATCAAATCAAACTGAAGTTGAAGACAAGTAGACAACACTGTAGGCAAGAAAAAAAAATCACACAGATTCAAAGCAACACATCAAATTAACTTCTTGAGGTCACCCTCTTATTGAAATCAATACTAAACAACTCGAGCATGATCGTAGAAGAAAAACCCAAGTGCCTTCAATGTTCACATTAAGCAGCCTTCAATGTGCTTGCAATATCCAGAACAAATCGGTATTTAACATCGTTTTTCTCGAGACGTTCCATTGCTGTGTTCACGTAGTCTATAGGAATAACCTCCACATCTGCTGTAATATTGTGTTTTGCTGCAAAATCAAGCATCTCTTGCGTTTCTTTCAACCCTCCAATGTCAGTCCCAGCCACTATTTTTCGACCTATCATTCCATACCCCAAGTCAGCTATACTGTCTTGATAAATTTAGTTAATAAATCCAAGTTTTTTATATCAAAAACTAATGCTAGATAACTTAAAGTTGTGCAAGGCCATTAATCACTGCTCTTTTCGTAGATGCTAATAAGTGAAGTGTACTTACCGAGAATCAAAGAACACATCGGCAGATCTAGAGGCTCCAATGGTCCACCGCTCATAACAAGCTTTCCATGGGTTTTCAATAGATCAATTAAAGGTTGAAGAGGATGAACTGCAGGGACAGTATCAATGATACCATCTAGTGTGCCCATTGCAATCTAGTCATATCAAACATAATGGCATGAGGACTAAATACCATAAAACATCTCGATATGAGATGAAGAAGTAGTTTAGTTGTAAAGGCTCACTCACGTCCATAGGTGGTTGCGGCTTCTCCTCTTTTCCCCTCCCCCCAACCCCCTCCAACAAAAAAAAGTAAAGAGTCCTACTAATTAAAAATTACCTGCATCTGATCGGGGTCGGTACTGACCAAAAATGAGTCAACACCAAGGTTTTTGATAGCTCTCTCTTTCTTTTCAGGGGATGTACTAATCACTGTCACTTTACCACCAAGTGCCTTTACAAATTTTACAGCTAAATGGCCATGTCCTCCGAGACCCACCACCCCAATGTGCATACCAGGCTTGTCGAGTCCAAAATACCTCAATGGACTGTACATTGTGATTCCTGCACCAAGGAGAGGAGCGCCGGAATCTAGAGGCAAGTTGTCCGGCCAACGAAGCACAAAGTGCTCGTCGGCGACCATGTGATCAGAAAAACCCCCATGGATTATGATTCCATCAACGTAGGGGGGACTGTCTGTGAGCATTTGTTCGGGACAATAATTTTCAAGGTTGTTATTACAACTCTCACATTTCCGACATGATCCCACCAAGCATCCCACGCCCACTTTGTCTCCAACTTTGAACTTTTGTACGTTCTTACCCACTTCGGTCACTACACCCACAATCTCATGCCTGCATTGATCATTTCAGTTTAGATATATGAGATATACGTCAAAAACAAAATTATTGGTCCCCAACTCGTATTAAGTCACCAAACTATTTGTAACTTCGACAAAGTAATCAACTGGGTCTAGACTTGTTGATGAATTGATTCTCTCGAGAAGAAAATCTAAGGGTCAAGGAGTAAACTCTATCTAAGCCAATGGTTGATTTCTCTCAATGTCCCCCTCTTCGATGTTCAATTGAGCCCCTCTTTGGGGCTTCTCTTTCATCCCCTCAATCGATTTTCTCCTTCGTTATAATTGCGTGGTAATTGATGCCAATAGTAATCTATTTATGTGTATGAAGAAAAAAAAATCAGTAAATGTACATATTAAATGAGTGACCGATCAAACAATGCATTATACATACCCTGGAACAGTGGGATACATTGCAACACCCCAATAATTCTTATTCATCATAAGGTCTGAACGACAAATCCCACAATACAATACCTTTAATCTCACATCCTGATCACCAGTAACTCTGCACAATTAGACCACACACATTACCACCACCACCATCATCGTATCAATAAACATGGTCACTCAACCTAGATATATAACTAAAATATTTTAAACTAGCTCATGAAAAGTATGTAGATGAAAGACTTTCTTATTGGTAATTTATAATGAACCAAATATTTTCTTCCATTAAGGGAGAAACCCAAACCAAACCTTCTTGAAAACTTGAAGGGACAGAGAACACCAGATGGGTCTCGACAAGCCCATCCAAAAGCCTCCACCTCTTGTGATTTTGACATGAGTAAAGAGAAAATAAGAATCTTGAGTGATTTTCAGCTATGTGGCGACTTGTTTCTTTAGTGTGTGGGGAATTGTGGCTTGGGCTTTGTGAGGTTGCATTGCTCTATATATATATGTGTGTGAGTGTGTGAATGAAAGAGAGGAAAATAATGGTTTAAATTGCAGATTCCGAAATATAATATATATATGCCATGTGCAGTGCATGTTCGATGAAATGACCACGTGAGGTCACAGGATGCACTAGGTTTATGGAATAATTTCAGAGCAGAATCAAGATCTTTGAACCAACTGTCTAATGGTATGGACAAATTAGATGAATATAGAAACCCCTCGTGAGGCGCGAGGAGACATCAGATAATATTAACTTTTTTGCCTTGTTTGTTGTTCAGCATTCAGATATGAGGATTATTTTTGTAGGTTTTGACATGGCTGGTCCCTTTTACATTGTTATCATGGTCGGTCTGGCTTCGATCCCGTTTTAGCTTCCCTAATCTTAATATTTGAGGCAAGTGAAAAGATGATAGATAATGAGAATTGCAGAAAGTATAGGTTAGATAGTGGAAACTGGAAAGTTAGAGATAGTACGAGAAGTTAGATAAATAGATAGAATGTGGAGAATTATAAATGATTACAACTTAATAATTGGTAGCATTGTGCCATCTTCATTCATATATATATATATATATATATATATATGGATACTAGTTATTCCTCGTACCTAAAGACACAGAATAATAAAAAAAATAGTCAATATATTTGTATTCACACTCAAAATCAAATCATAAATATAAATGAGAGATAAAAAATTTAAGGATCGATTGTAGTGTGGGTGAGCAGTGGTAGTAGTGGTGGGCGACAGTGGTGGTGATGAGAGACGGTGATGGTTGTGCTGAATAAGGCAACGACCGTAGTGGTGGTAGCGGCCATGGGTGGCAATGGTGATGGTGGTTATGGGCGACGATGGGTGGTGGCGAATGGCGATTGTGATAAGCGTGGTGGAGCTAGGTGACAGTGGATGGCTATAGTGGTGGGAGACGACAAGTGGTGGTGGTTGGTGGTGGGATAGGAGACAGTGGTTGTTGGCGATGGGTGGTGATGGGTGTTGAGGGTGGGCGACAATAGTCGTGGGAAGATGGTGGTAACGATAATAAATATAAGAATAAGATGACGATGGTAGTGGGTGATCGATATGGACGACGATAATAACAATCGGTGGTGGGTGGCGATAGTGATGGTGATGGTGGTTGTGGTGTCAGTAGTGATAGGACAGTGAGCGTGGGGTGGGGCAGTGGCGGTTTGGGGTGACGTTGGTGAGTTGGCGATGGTAATAGTAATTGTGATGGACAGGGGGGTGGTGGTGGGGCCTTGTGAGTGGTAGGGGTGATGGTGGGACAACAGTAGTGATTGTAAGGTGCGACAACAATGATGATGATGGTAGTGTACAACAACAGTGGTGGTGGGGATGGTGGTGGAATAGTGGTGGGGTGGTGGAAGTGATAGTGATGATGTGGGGTGGTGGTAGTGGTGGCCGGTGGTGTAGTGGTTATGGTGGTGGTGGGGCAATGGAGTGGTGATGGTGGTGGTAGTGGGCATGGTAGGGTCGCAATAGTGATGATGGTGATGGTGGGGGTGGGGGTGGTGGGACGATTTCAAACAATATTTTATTTTTTAAAAAACTTATAAGAAATAATTTCTAAAAGTACTTTTAAAAAGTCACTCCAAACACATCTTTAGAGGCCTGGTTTTCATATTAAATTTGAGGTGTTAATATTAACCGTTATATTAACTTTAAACTAAAATTTAAAACGATCTTAAACTCGAATAGTAAAAATCAGTTTATTTATTTTTTGAAATTTGAATTATATATGTGTGTGTGTGTGTGTGTGTGTGTGTGTATCAAGCGCAGTGCGTGTTCGATGAAATGCCCAGTTGAGGTCTTAGGAGACTTTAAGTTTATGCATAATTATTGCCATAATTTGTTGAACTAATATTTCATAGCAGTTAGATTGATGGTAGATTCTAGTATTTGTTGGGATCCATTACAAATTCAATTATTGTGATGCATTAGGTCAAAAAACTATGTTTAAATAGCATTATTTTTTAGGAGACGTAATGAGAGGATATAATTCATTATCAGTACTGTACTTAAATCATCAAATTAAATACAAGTGGTTCTATCGTAATTTCGATGTATAATCAGCAAGATTATTTCAGCAAACTTTGAAATGTAATTAACAAATTTAGATGCGTATACACAAACCACATAAGACCCTCGCGGAGCACGAGGCCTCACAAAAAGTAGTTTGGTCTCTTTTGGAGCCATATGGTGTTCATGGTGGGTACTACCTGCTCACATTCCCATAGTATATTATCTATATGAATTCGGTATGTATTCTAGTATTGGGTAAAAAGATCGAGGTTCTATATTAGATGTTAACGCTACTCCACTTGTATAAATAGTCTATATAAAGCAGCTCACTAGTATTTTATTATCATCACATATCACTCTTCAAAATAAGCCTGATAATTCTAGACACGACTTGTGAACTAGACATAACATTTATACAAAGTTAATAGATTAGTGTTGGATTAGATAGAAGAGTAGGGTCTTTGGTCAATATGAACATAGGTCAAGACATTTTATCTCTAGTTTAGTCAATCAAAAAATAAAATATTTAATTTAGGGGGCAGTGGGTCTCTATTTAATTAAAAAAAAAAAAATCAGGGTCATTGTAGAAATTTATATAAAAAAAAAATAGGCAGGCAAATATCGTAAATTTCATGAAATTGTAGTTTGTCCAATTTTTTGTTTTGGGCAGGTAGTTTGTTCTTTAACTATCGATTTTCTCGTAAGACTGTCTCGATTATTTGAATTGTTTCATATTATTCGCAAGAAAATGTACGATATGCTTTGGACGAAAAATGCCTAAATACGTAGTAAAATACACGTTTTTTAACATACAAAATCTGGCAATGTGAAACCAATAATTATAGCTACAATGTTCCCGTCGTTATTTGCTAATATTGAATTTTTTGTGTGTAAAACATTATTTTTTCTTCACAAGATATTTTCATTAAGTTGTATAACTCTCCTATTTGCTCTATTATTCTACCTTTTCTCATTTGTAACATGTTTGCTTCATATTTAGAATAAGGTGCCAGTTCATTATCTTGATGTCGATCTTGGTTGGGGACTGGGTATTAATGTATGGTATTAAATTAATAAGAAAAACATAAACCTTCATATGATCAAATTCAATACCAAGTTAAAGGTGCTTTTGTCATTTTTAATCGTAACATTAAGTAGCATTGATGTTGTACCGCCTATACCATAGGGATCTAGTTTGTACACGCATGTGATATCAGTTGATAGTATAACATCCAGTCAAATCGGTATTAACTCGTGTTATAAAACAAGGGTCATATAACTTATTTCAAATATTGTATGTTTTAGGACGGTTATCTTTAAGGGGTCAAACCTTAAGCACAAAAATTCACACATACTAAATTTTAAATTTCCAATTTGATAATATAATACATTTAATACAAACAAAGCTACCGACACATACTAACATAAGATAACAAAATAAATAGTTTCTAATACATATTAATCATATTGTCTAATGCTCAGCTAAAATTGAGTAGTTCAAAAAATAAAATAAAATTTGTATGCTCACTGACTTTGTTGTTTAATATTTGCAACTGAGCATCTATTGTGGCATTAAAAATATCAGTTCGATAATGATGTTGAATTGTAATCTCATTTGGTTGATTTCGAGTCCGGCCTCTTCTTGCAACATAACAAGTATCAATATCTGAAGCATTTATGTTTTATTCACAACATAGATTGAAGAATGTGTTTGAGTTATCGGCAACGAGCTTTATTTCATTTAGCCTTGCGAAACTTATTTGAGATTATTCTCAATCTAGTTGAAAATTTGATTATTTGATTTATAAGAGAAAACTTTTGGATTACAAAAACTTGTTATTATTCTTGAATAATCAACTATTTCAAAAGTTTAAGTTATTAGAAAAGAGTGTAACAAAAATATTTATCTAATACTTCTCTTCACGTGTGACCCCTCATTGGGTTGTCACCCCCCCCCCTTTTTTGGTCAAGTAGTTTGTCCCTTTAATTATCGAGTTTTTCGCATTACCCCCTACACTATTTGAATTAGTTTCTCTAGTATTTGGCAGTATGACACAGAATCAAGTCAATATTTCTGTTTTGAAAATCTCAGGGTTTTAATTTTCCTTTAAATTGTTCTATGTATCATCTACATTTTTAGAGTTATTCTCTATAGATTCAGAGTGTTATTGTTCTATACAATTAGAAACGGTGATATATTCGTGCCCTTTCCTTACCGCTATGTCAAACCTTCAAGAGCTCTTGTTACTGAAAATCCAAGGTATCATTCTGTTGCTTAATATGCATCTAAACATTTGTTAAAGATAGGAGTTTCCGTTGTGCCTTAAAAAAAAGATTCAGGCATATAACTAAATTTTGGTTTAATGGAATTTGCTTGGTATTCATGACATTTTCTTTCTTTATTTTTTAAACTCTTCATGTTCATGTGATTTAAAATTAAAGAGTTATGAAAATAATGATACAGCCAAATAATTGTGTGCTATGTAGGAGCAAGCTGAAGCACACCATCACATGTTCTTCAATTTCCAGCATTCAAAGAGTGTACTGACCCCTCTGATGGATCTGGGAGGAGCACCAACCACTTTGTCGGTATATGTCATTGGATTTCTATCTGTTTGTGCCGATGATCAATAAATTTGATTATTTCAGTTATATGGCAATTGACAAATACTACAGATTTTTGACAAAAATTATTGACAATTGCACTTTTAACTTCCCCCAGCTGATATAGACCATATATCAAATCAACCTGAAGTTGAAAACAAGTAGACACCCTCTGTTGTCACCCTCTGATCGAAATCAATACTAAACAACTCGAACATGATCGAAGAAGAAGAACCATGATCATTATCAATGTTCACATTAAGTAGTCTTCAATGTGTTTGCCACATCTAGAACAAATCGGTATCGAACATCGCCTTTCTCAAGACGCTCCATTGCCGTGTTCACATAGTCTATAGGAATAACCTCCACATCTGTTGTAATATTGTGTTTTGCTGCAAAATCAAGCATCTCTTGCGTCTCTTTCAACCCTCCTAAGTCGGTCCCAGCCACTATTTTTCGACCTATCATGCCATTCCACAAGTCAGCTACACTATATTTTTCAATTTATCAAAAATTAATGCTAGATAACTTAAAGTTGTGAAAGACCATTAATCACTGCTCTTTTTGTAGATACCAGTAAATGAAGTGTACTTACCGAGAATCAAAGAACAAACTGGCAGATTTAGCGGCTCCAATGGTCCACCTCTCATAACAAGCTTTCCATGGGTTTTTAATAGGTCAATTAAAGGTTGAAGAGGATGAACTGCAGGGACAGTATCAATGATACCATCTAGTGTGTCCAATGCAATCTAGTCATATCAAACAAAACACGAGGAATCAATACCACAAAACATCTCGATATGAGATGAGGGACTCATTCAGGGGTAAAGACTCACTTCTATTCACTAGTGATTACAACTTATTCTCCTTTTCCCACCACCCCCGTCAAAAAAAAAAAGTAAAAACAAAAAGAGTTCTAATAATTCATAATTACCTGCACTACTGACCAAAAATGAGTCAACACCAAGACTTTTAATAGCTTTCTCATTCTTTTCAGGGAGGTACTAATCACTGTCACTTTACCTTCAAAAATCTTTACAATTTTCACAGCTAAATGGCCATGTCCTCCGAGACCCACCATCCCAATGTGCATACCAGGCTTGTCAAGTCCAAAATACTTCAATGGACTGTACATTGTGATTCCGGCACTGAGGAGAGAAGCGTTGGAATCTAAAGGCAAGTTGTCAGGCCAACGAAACACAAAATGCTCATCAGTGACTATGTGATCGGAGAATCCCCCATGGATTATCATTCCATCAATGTAAGGGGGAGTGCCTATGGACATTTGGTCGGGGCAATGACTTTCAAGGTTGTTAGCACAACTCTCGCATTTCCGACATGATCCCACAAAGCATCCCACACCCCCTTTGTCTCCAACTTTGAACTTTTGTACCTTCTTGCCCACTTCGGTCACTACGCCCACAATCTCACGCCTGCATTGATCATTTTAGTTTAGATACATGAGATATACATCAAAAACGAAATTACTGGTCTCCAACTAGAATTAAATCACCAAAACTGTTTTTTAACTTCGACAAAGTAATCAACTGGGCCTAGCCTCGTTGGTGGCCTGATTCTCTCAAGAAGAAATTCTAAGGATCGATGAGTAAACTTTGTCAGTCAAGGATTGATTTCTCTCAATCTCCCCCTCTTCGATGTTCTATTGAGCCCCTCTTTGGGGCTTCCATTTCTACCCCTCCGTGGATTTTCTCCTCTGCTATAAGTACATGGTTCAAAAATTGCAATGGATGTCAATAGTGATCTATCTATGTTTATGAAGGAAAAAAAATTAGTAAATGTACATATTTGAGGAGAGACCGACCAAACAATACATTACACATACCCTTGGACGGTGGTATACATTGCAACACCCCCGGTAGTCCTTGCTCATCATAATGTCGCCGCGACAGATCCCAGAATACAACACTTTTAATCTCACATCCTGATCACCAATAGTCCTGCACAATCATACCACACACATTACCACCACTATCATCGTACCAATAAACATGGTCACTCAACCAAGCTATATAACTAAAATATTTTAAACTGACTCATAAAAAATATGTCATGTCAAAAGGAAGAAAGACTTTCGTCTTGTTAATTTATAATGAATCAGATATTTTCTTCCATCGGGGAAACCTTCTTGAAAACTTGAATGGAGAGAGAACACCAGATGGGTCTCTGCAAGCCCATCCAAAAGCCTCCACCTCTTGTGATTTCGACATTAGTAAAGAGAAAATAAGAATCTTGAGTGATTTTCAGCTATGTGGCGACTTGTTTCTTCAGTGTGTGGGGAATTGTGGCTTGGGCTTTGTGAGGTTGCATTCCTCTATATATGTGTGTCAGTGGGAGAGAGAAAGAGAGGAAGATAATTTATATAATAAAGTAGCTAGGACCCAGCAACTCCCAACAACCTATCTCTTCCATACCCATCTCTTCCATTTTCCCTCCAATTCTCTCCCGGCACATCAACCCATCAAACAACCCAGCAACTACAGCTACCCATCGCTTCCATTCTCTCTTCCATTTTTAAAAATACTTGCAACCCATCTCTTCCATTTTCCCACCAACTCTCACCCGGCACCTCTCTCTCTCTTCCTTATCTCTCAAGTTATCTCTGTCTCTCTTCCTTATCTCTCATCTAAATCTCTTTCTCATTTTTAAAAACAAACTACTTTCTCTTATCTCTAACTTTTTCCCCACACCGAAGTAACCACCCTTTCCCTTCCTCTCTGTCTCTATCTTGCGCCTCCAATACACACTGAACAAACCACTGTGAGCAGTCCAGGTATTTCTCTTTGGCTCTTCTCTTTCATTCTTTCTCTCACTGTGCGTGTGTTTTTGTTCATGTGTGTGTGTGGCTGTGTGTTCATGTGTGTGCCTGTGTTTGTGTTCATGTGTGTGCCTGCATTCCTGTATTTTTAATTTTTCAGAATGTGTTCATGTGTTTAATATATTGTTTTGTCAAGGCCGGTCGGTGTTCATGTGTGTAATGTACTGTTTTTCAGAATGTGTTCTTGCATTCCTGTAATGTTTTAGACTTGGGCCCGTCGGTGCAAGAAAGTAATGCAAAAACCAAAGAGAAAAAAAAAAAAACCTTCGTCCTTAAGTTAAATATAATACCCATAAGACCCAGATTAGTGGCTTGCAATTCAAACCCGGGAAATGAAATAAGAAACACATGAAACAATGCATGTGTGTGTGTGCGCCTGTGTGCTGTGTTCATGTGTGTGCCTATGTTTTTGTTCGTGTGTGTGCCTATGTTTGTGTTCATGCATGTGCCTGCATTCCTTTTTTAAAATTTTTCAAAATGTGTTCATGTGTGTAATATAGTGTTTCCTCGGGGCCAGTCGTTGTTCATGTCTATAATATTGTGTTTTTCAGAATGTGTTCCTGCATTCCTCTAATTTTTTAGACCTGGGTCAGTCGGTGCAAGAAGGGTAATGCAAAAGCATAAATTTCTCAACTATAACATAAGTTGGGATGTCACAACTTTAACATAAATTTCTCAAAAAAGGTGTATAAAATGAGTTTTGATTGTAATTTATACTAGAATATCCCCTCATATAATTATGTCTTATGTTTTCATTCAACAATTGTGAGAATAATAGAAACATTTTGAACAAGTAGAGATTAATCAAACGTGCAAGTCCTAGACTAAAGAATATCAAGATAGGAATGAGTTAAATCATAGTTTCAACAACTTCAGATAACAAATTGGATCAAAAGTAACAATTACAACAAAGCAATTGGTGTAAGCTTCTAAAATAAATGAGTTTATTGATTCTTAGACCCATGGATACCATTGACAATGTTATCATCCATGGGTTATTGTGGTTCAAGAGCAACGCGAGAGAAAAATGGAATCTAAGCGTGTGTGTGTGTGTGTGTGAGAGAGAGGGAGAAAATATATTATCCCCTTTTATAGCCCATATTAAGTGTCCAATCATTTGATCCTTGTGTTTCTCGTGTTTTCGAAAATGAAAAGTCCATTTTGCATTCTGTATCCCCCAAAACTCATGTACAGTGTTTTTTAAAACATCTCTTTTTTTTCTTTTCGGTATTCAAGTTTTCAAAAATGTAAAACCACAAAACCAATAATTTTCATCTTTTTCCTATGTTTTTCAAACACTAATCAAGTAAACCCAAAATAACCACCAAGTCATGTAATGTAGTGACGCTTGGCATTCATTAAAAGTCTTACGGTAAATAGCATTTAATGAAGAATGCATATGTGTCATTTTTTCATTTATTAAAATTAAAATAGAGAGTGAATTGGGCTCTTCAAATGTAAAGAACCTATTGGAGGTTGATTTTTGGTGGTTAACTCTCTAAAATGAAGAGTTGAGTGAGAATAAAGAATATATTAGAGATGTTCTAAGAAGTGTTATAGTCAAGCCTTGATAAGGATTTCACAATTTTGTTGTTATATAATTCACAGTAGATTGATAATTAAGTCGAATTTTGTGAGTTCGAGCTAAGTTTGTCGAGTTTATTTTTCTAAATTAGCTTAAAATATTATTGGGGCTCAACTATCAAACCGAGCCTAATTAACTCAACTATTTTACTCATAAACGTGAAAAATTGTTCAAACTCAACTCATTTAAAAAATAAACCGAGCCCGAATCAAGTAAAACTTGAATCTGATAGTTCGGTTCGATTATCAATCCTCGAATGATTTCCTGAAAGGCCAGTTGCAATGCAATGGGAATTTTTGCTGACAGCCCAAAACTATGTTGTCCAAAAACAAAACAGCCCAAAGTTTGGCCTTCACGGTCGTACTCAGGCCCACCCAAAAGGAGTGGCAATCACCTTTCTAACGGTCATAAGAAATTGAAATTTGAACGTGCTACAAACTACCCAACATAACACCAAGTACAAGAAAGCACATTTCCCCCTCTCATCTCTTTCAAAATCACTGTTTACAGCAAAAAAAAACCTTCCAATAATTTCAAGATTTTCTCTGTCCGCAGAAACCAGAATACCCAATTCCAAATGGAAGACATTCAATTCGACGCATCTGTTCAAAACTCGGAAGTTTTTCACTGGGAAAAGCCCATGGATCCAGAAAATGGAGTTTCCGCCATGGACGAAACCGAAGAATCCTTGGTTGATTCCATGGTTTGTGACTCGGGTTCAAGACTTGTCCCAAGTGGATTTACAAGATCAAGTTGTGCAGGTTGGTAAATCTTCGTAAAGTTTTGATTTTCCCTAATTGGATCAGGGTTCACAAGATCTTGAAACGGGTCAAAATTTCTCAAACCAAGAATGTAAGGTATTTTTGGGGTTATTGAAGCAATATGTGGTTTCTCATTTCTGCTATTGAATGTAGGCAATCTTTTAGAATACTTTACATTTTTTAAGCATATTCAGTGCCCATTTTATCGATTATGAAGTGCCTAAATTTTTTGGAAGGGAATTGTTTTTGCACATGAACTAGTTTTGGTTGCTGAGAAAATTGTGGGCATAGAAACGGAAAATCTAATCTTGGAAACTTATAGGAAGTTTCAATGTGGATGGTATAACTAGGCTTTGTGATGATATCAAAGTAGCGAAACTTTCTTTTTTTTTTTTCGAAACCAAATTTAAGGTCGAAATGTTAATTTTATACTGTGAACTGGGAATTTATGTAGTGACTTTATGACATTGGTTTCTTGAAGCAGAAGGAGTTCTGATGTTTGTAAATGCTGGAGGTGGGGAGGTTTCAGTGGAAGCAGATTCAAGTGTTAGCTTCTTGGCTGATAGCTTTTTTGATGGGGGAGATACATTTCAGACTGAGGAGTGTATAAGTGACGGTGGTGACTATCCATTCATTTATCAGTCTGCACGTCTAGGAAACTTCTCTTATCGATTTCAGAATCTTTTGCCTGGAGATTATTTCATTGATCTTCATTTTGTGGAGATCATAAACACAAATGGACCTAAAGGAATGAGGGCATTTAATGTATTCATACAGGATGAGAAGGTAAGTCGACGAAACAAAGAAATTTGTTCTAGTTTGTATTATTTGAAATATGTGATATTGGCTTTTAGAATTTATTGTCTTTTTTAAAATGACAGGTTCTATCTGATTTTGATATCTTTTCCATTGTTGGAGCCAATAAGCCATTACAACTACTTTACTCGAGAATCTCTGTGAAGGATGATGGGATGGCTGTAATTAGGTTTGAAGGAGTAAATGGAAGCCCACTGGTTAGTGGAATTTGCATAAGGAAAGCGCCTAAACTGTCAGGTATCTTCCTTCCTTCTGCCTTATCTTATTTTGACAGGTGGATTTATATATTATTCTATTTCTCTTTGAAATTGAGTTTTTATGGATAACATGTATTTGAAGCCATTTTCTGGTCACTTTATCTTCTGCCTCAAATGCAGCTCCTCAAGTGAAACATGAATATGTTACATGCAAAAATTGTGCCTCTGAGATCGAAGTCCCTTCAGCTCAGGTATGATGCAACTTAATGTGAAGAGTTGCAAATGTGAATTTTTTCAATGTTTGTCATGTCGGATATTCATTTTTCGGTTTTTTCAGAACAAAGTCATACGAATGAAATCGACAGCCAAGTACGAGAAGAAGATACAAGAGCTAACCATGCAGTGCCAGCTCAAGACAGATGAATGTTATCAGGCTTGGATGTCTTGGACTACAGCAAATGAGCAGCTAGAGAAGCTTAGGATGGAACTGGACAATAAGTCATTTCACACCTACTCTCTCGGTAAGATAGAATAACATGGACTTTCGTAAGGTTTCTCTTTTGAAAAGCACATGTTCTTTTTAATAGTTTAGTGAAAAAGTAATCATCGTTAGAAGGTTCGATGGCAGTTTTTAATCTTATAATATTCTTGGTGTCTAGCATTCATCACTTTTTAAAATTACAATGATGTTTATGTCTTGTAATTCCCTGTCACCAAAAAGAAGCTGGAATAAAAAAAAAAAAACCTTGGGTTAAATGATTTAGATCAATTGCAGTGAATTTCTCGAACAAAAATGGAATCAGTTGTTAACAATACTTGGTCTGGTTGGCCTTTGAATTTAGACGTAATGGGACCATATCTGGGAACTTGCAACAATAATTTGAGAATTTGGGTGTTTGGAAAACTGGAGCCTGTTTAATACTTTTTCCTTTTCCTTTTTTGTCCTGTCTTAGATCAAACTGTGGAGAAACAAGCTGAAAAGCTAAGGGGTATCTCTAGCAGGTATGAGCGAGACAAGAAATTCTGGGTTGTGGTAGTCAATGACATGGAGCATAAAGTAAAGGTAATTGATATAATTCATGAAAATGACACAAACTAGTGCTGTTTTAGTGTGAAATGAGGAATTTTCTATTTTTATTTTGTGATATTGAGTATGTATCCTATCAGATGATGAAACAAGAGTACTCTCAGCTCTCTCAAGAAGCACACGAGTGTGCTAATTCAATCCCTGAGTTGAACAAAATGATTTTTGCAGTTCAGGCATTGGGTAATTTTATATTTTGCATAATCCTTCTAAATTGCATACGATTACAAATTATCATTTGCTTGGAATCTCCTTGTAGTTGCACAGTGTGAGGATCTCAAAGTGAAATACAGCCAAGAGCAAGCAAAGAGAAGGAAACTCTATAACCAAGTTCAGGAGACAAAAGGTGTGTTCTTATCTCCTTTGTCATCTATAACACAAAGTCATATCATGTTTGTTTGAATAGCCAACAAATTTGAGGTATTTTTAGTCTCATCAATAACTGTTGCAATCAGGGAACATCAGGGTATTTTGTCGATGCCGTCCATTAAGCAAGGCAGAAGTCTCAGCGGGTTATTCCACTGTGGTTGAATTTGACACAGCCAAGGACGGGGAACTTGGAATTCTGAGTGGTGGATCCACAAAAAAAACTTTCAGATTTGATCAAGTATACACACCAAAAAATGATCAAGGTGTTTGATACAGTAGCATCGTTTGGATAACATGCTATTTATTACTCTTTCCATACAAACTTTGTATTGATAGGTCCTTTTTCTGTTAACAGTTGATGTGTTTAAGGATGCCTCTCCAATGGTGGTATCAGTTTTAGACGGCTATAATGTCTGCATATTTGCTTATGGGCAAACAGGAACAGGAAAGACATTTACGATGGAGGGTACTGAGGAGAACCGGGGTGTTAATTATAGGACTCTTGAGGAACTATTCAAAATTGCAAAGGAAAGGAGTGAAACATTTATATATAACATATCAGTTAGTGTACTTGAAGTCTATAATGAGCAGATAAGGGACTTGCTGGCCACATCGACAACATCAAAGAAGTAAAATTCTTCACTTTTCTCTGCTTCGATAAAAGTTGCTATTACACATAAGCCATAACAGATTAAATTTCTATATGGGGTAATGTTAGGTTGGAGATAAAGCAAGCTTCTGAAGGATTTCATCATATTCCTGGAATAGTGGAAGCACAAGTTCATAACATAAAGGAAGTATGGAATGTGCTACAGGCTGGAAGCAGTGCCAGGGCTGTTGGATCCAATAATGTGAATGAGCATAGCAGTCGTTCTCACTGGTAACTAGCTCTATAGCATTTTTTTTTTATGTTGCTTGACTATAGTCATCAATTGATTTTGTAATTTGCAACTGCAATTAAGTTAACTGTCAACATGATTTCTGCCATATTTATCCTCACTTCAGTATGCTCTGTATAATGGTAAGAGCCAAGAACTTGATGAATGGTGAGTCCACCAAGAGCAAGCTTTGGCTTGTGGATTTGGCAGGCAGTGAGAGGATTGCCAAGACAGATGTGCAAGGAGATCGGCTCAAGGAAGCTCAGAACATCAATAGATCACTTTCAGCCCTTGGAGATGTAATATCTGCTTTGGCAAGTAAAAGCAGTCACATTCCTTACAGGTTCACTTTAGCCTATCTTGCTTTTCATATTATGAATGCTCCATTACCTATATGTTGATTTTTATTTTTTTTGTTTACTGGTTTTAGGAACTCAAAGCTCACACATTTACTCCAGGATTCATTAGGTAAATCTTCTTCTTCCCACCTTATCATTTTTTTTCTTTTTCGTGGATCAGAATTCTGACTCCATTGATTTACTTGAATTGGTATTAGAATTTGGGAAAGGTTTGATCTCCCTTTTGATAGGGATATTTTACCTCATGCATCTGGTCAACTCTTTCTACTTAGCTAATTTATCTTTTGTTGTAGGGGGTGACTCCAAAACATTGATGTTTGTGCAAATTAGTCCTTCAGAGCAGGACTTGAGTGAGACTCTGAGTTCATTAAATTTTGCAACCCGGGTTCGAGGGGTCGAGTTGGGTCCTGTAAAAAGGCAAATAGATGCAAGTGAGCTTCAAAAGATGAAAATGATGGTAGGTTTGGCATCTTTTAACTGTTGTTTTTTTCCTGTACAAATGCCTTGCTATTCTGTAACATCTTTAGTAATGATTATTACTTCTTTATCATTTATTTGTTTATTTCTAATTTACATGAAGCTTGATAAAGCAAGGCAAGAATCTAGATCCAAAGATGAATCCTTAAGGAAGCTAGAGGAGAGCTTACAAAACTTTGAAAGCAAGGCCCGAGGCAAAGATATGAATTGCAGAAACCAACAGGAAAAGATCAAAGAACTGGAAGGTCAGCTTGAGTTGAAGACAGTGCTACACAGTCAGTCAGAGAAACAAGTTTCACATCTTTCAGAGAGATTGATTGGGAAGGAAGAAATTTGTGCTGGTCTTCAACAGAAGGTTGTATTTAAAATGATTGGTCATGTCCTTTTGGGTACTTAATCTGCTGAAGGTTAGAGATTTAGGTAACAAGCTTAGGAGGCAAAAGCAGCCTAGAGTCTTTAGAAATACCAACAGATATTTGTGACAAACTTTTAACATTTTTTGTTGTGGTCGTCGATCTTAAAACATGTGGACTTTTACATAATGAAAACGTCTCACTTGTGAGGTTGTGATTGAATGAAATGGGATTTTAAAGTTTTCTGAGATTAATTTATTAATTATCATTAGTTGTTGTAACTTTCCGCTCCCCCACTTTATGATTATTCAAAAGAACTTGACAATTAGTCCAATAATAAAAGATCGCTGCAAACTAACTTGTATACTTGTAAAGCAGGTCAAGGACCTTGAAACCAAGCTGAAAGAGCAAGTTCAAGAATCCGAGTTTCGTTCTGTCATCATCCAACAAAAGGTCGTCCACTTGGTGTATTATTTTAGTAAGTATATTATTTTAATAATAAGATGCTAACCTTAAAATTTATGTTTTATGTGGTTTCAGGTTGAGGAGCTTGAGAGAAAACTGAAAGAACAAGAACAGAACTCAGAATCCATTGTACTTCGTCAAAAGGTCCTGCTCCTTTCTATCTTTTAGTCTAACAAATCAAATCCATATTTCATTTCAAGAACCTTGCCAGGTATCCTGAAAGATCAATTTAAGAATTTTTTAATTGACGTGCATCACATCAGAGAGTTTTTTTCTGCAAAGCTCTCTGTGACATTCTTTTCCAGTGTTCTTGAAGAAGTCCTAATTTGTGCTTCTCTGATCCATTTGATTTTAAACTGGTATCACAGTTTGAAACATTTATCATGATAACATTCCTTGAATTTTTATATCCTTGTATTTCCGCCTATCCAAATCTATTGGCTTTGCGTAAACTGTTGTCAGGCCAAACATTTGATAACCAAATTTGTTACATTCCTTATCCGTGACGAGATTTTTGATATAAAATTGTTGACATTAATTGCTAAAAAATGAGCTAAAGTGCTACTATCTTTTCCTTGTGTAATGGTAGATTAATGAGCTTGAAGACAAGTTCAGGGTGCAAGAACAACAGTTGGCATGTACCCTAGTTTCAGATTCTGCTAATTCATTAAGATCCACTCCAACTGAAGATAAACGCTGTGTTAGAGACGAGACTATGAATGAGGCTGACCGCTATATTCTGAGGAGTTCAAACTCAACTAACCGCCAAATGAGTCGGGGGTCTAACTTGCTAAAGGGAAATGACTTCCGTCATGACATAAGAAGGAAAAGATTATCCAGAAATAGTGAAACAGAGAACATCATTTTATCATCTTCTCTCAATGAAAAGAAGGCCAGGCAATCTGACCCACCGAAACCATTTCCCAGGGTCACAAAAACAGCAAACCCGGCAACAAATGCTCCACGACGCTTGACTCATATCCGAACAAACAGAGATCCCGCTCAAGGAGTTAAAGAGATGGATAGCAAGAAAAGGATCTGGTCAAGATAGCAAGGTGAAACTAGTCGAAGCCAACTTGTAATTGTGTTGTCTTTTCAACTAACATTTACGTTATGGATAAAATTTTCCTATCCTTCACTGTGTAGTAGATTGCTAGTGTGCTTGATGTCAAACTAAATGTAATCCCCCATATGTATGTTATATTCTTGAGGAGAAATGAAATGTAATCCATATTCTGGGAATCCTAAGTTGTGACAATGTTATTCTTGTTGCCCAAATTCAGTCACCAGACTAAGTAATATATTTTTCGATTTTGTATTTTGAAAATTACAATTTAATCAACCCAAGTTCCAACTCAAATAAACCAAGTTATAACTCAATGAGATTGTGCTAAGATCCATTATGAAGACTTGTTAGGATCAATCCCGTGTGTTTTTGTGTTGACTTAGTTCCATTATAGTAACCCCTAACACAAAGCAGACTTTTTTCTTGGAGGCTCGCTTCGCTCAAGATATTTGGGACCAATGGTGCACGCTTGACTTATGACCTTCCTTATCAATTGGTTATAACTTTATCTTCTTTTTGAAATGTTACCAAATTAGTACTATAGATTTTTCTATATTTGTTTCAAAAGCATTATGTCATCGATACCAACTACCAACTGATGGAATGTTGAACAAATGATGATATATCAGCAAGCATATTATACTTAAGACTTGAGATGTGATCCATATTCTGCGAATGCTACACTGTGACAATGTTATTTTTTGATGTCTAGATTTTGTATTTTGAAAATTACAAGTTAATCAACCCAAGTTCTGACTCAAATAAACCAAGTTATAACTCAATGAGATTGTGTTGAGATCCATTATGACGACTTGTTAGGATCAATCCCACTTTTAGGGTTAACTTATTTCCATTATAGTGCCCCAAACACAAAGGACACATTTTCCTCGCCGGCTCGCTTTGCTCAAGAAATTTGGGACCAATGGGTCACACAATGGTGCACGCTTGACTTTTGACCTCCCATATCAATTAATTATAATTTTATCTTCTTTTCGAAATGTTACCAAGTTGTTACTATAAATTTTTCTATATCTGTTTCAAAAGCGTTATATCATCGAGATACCAACCGGTGGAATGTTGAACAAATGATGATATATCAACAAGCATATTATCCTCAAGACCCGAGTTATACCAATCGCTTTATGTTATCCCTTACACATTCCACTTTTTCATATTGCAGCTTAAACAAAAAGTCCACTGTTGGAGCAAAGTAAAATTCAAACCAATAGTTTAAGCACCCATTTTTTCAACAACCGAACATACGATTACAAATTTGGAAAACAACTTTATTTAGTCGCAATAAGTTGATTGTTGTAGTACAAAAAGACTTGTTCAGACACCAGAGTGGAGGACAGGATAAAACAATTGGATACTAAAGTCTCTGGATGTTCATTCTCATTTTCCCAAGTCTCGTTGATAATGAGTATAAATATCCAGTGATTAGGCAGCCTTAAGTGTGTTCCCAACGTCAATCCCGAATTGATATCTAACATCAGCTTTCACAAGACGCTCCATAGCAGTGTTCACATAGTCCATTGGAATAACCTCAATGTCCACTGTTATGTTGTGTTCAGCTGCAAAATCAATCATTTCTTGGGTCTCCTTCATCCCCCCAATGCCACTTCCAGCCACTAACTTTCTCTCTGTTACACCATAAACCAATGTAGAGTAGGAAGGATTAGATAGAAAACCATAGAACATGAATAATATGATGTACAAAAAATGCAAGTACTCTGTTAGCCAAAGTTCCCATTATTTAACTAGCTCCTTTCATTGGTAATGGTCAAATACTTGCCCGTAAGTAAAGCAAATACTGGTAGCTCCAATGGCTTCTCTAGTGCACTAACCACAACCAGCTTCCCATTAGATTTCAACAGACCGAGCAATGGCAGGAGAGGATGAACTGCAGAGACTGTGTCGATGATACCATCCATTGTACCCATAGCAGCCTATATATATTCCACATATCGGTATGAGAATTGGTATAAACTTGAGAGTCTCCACAAAGTTCAAACTGAAACATATTCAAAATAATGATAACCTGCATCTGATCTGGATCACGGCTGACCAAAAATGAATCAGCACCAAAATGTTCACTGGCCTCCTCTTTCTTGCTTGGGGATGTACTAATGACTGCCACCTTGACCCCCAAAGCCTTTGCAAACTTCACACCTACGTGTCCCAATCCACCTAAACCCACTACACCCACATGCATTCCAGGCTTGTCAAGTCCATAATATTTCAAGGCGCTATAAGTTGTGATTCCAGCACAAAGAAGGGGAGCACCAGCATCAAGAGGCAGATTTTCAGGCCAACGAACCACAAAGTGCTCATTAACAACTAAAATATCAGAGTAACCTCCATATGTCGGAGTTCCATCATAGTAGATGGAATTATAAGTAAGGATGAATTTGGGACAATAATTTTCAAGATCATTGGCGCAGTTGTCACACGAGTGACATGATCCAACCATGCACCCCACTCCAACTTTATCTCCAACTTTGAACTTTTTTACCTTGCTACCCACTTCCGTTACTTCACCCACAATCTCGTGCCTGCATCGATCAAATTTTAAATTCAAAAACGTGACAAGTAAAACTAACATAATTCATCATCTATCCTAATGAAAGTAGAAGACTAATAACTGACTATTTTTTCGCATGCCATGTTATTTGACAAAGCAGATTAGTATGGAAATTCAGTATAAAGTTTGTGAAGAGTTATTTTGGAGATTGGTACATCAGGAACATCAATCTTAATCTTTTATAGTGACTAATTTATACTATTGTCCCAAGAGGTTTTCCACAAGAAAAATTCCATCACCCTGCTTCCTGCAGACCTATATAGTGGTGGCTTATTTTCAAGGACAATATCTCGATAATTCCAAAATTACAATCACCACATTATATATGTGTGTGTGTGTGTGTGTGTTTAGTTAATATTTTAAAGTAAACAAACAAATGTACTCTGATTAAAGACGTTAAAATATAAATCATAAATAAACCGTCGTCGTTAAACAACCTAGGCAATTGTTGGGGGAAAGCGGGATACCCTGTTTTATTATATAGAAGACTAAAATATTATGTGCAAAACACTTTTTTTTTTTTATTGTGGTTACAAAATTAAAATATAAAACTTGTAATATTAGCCGTGGAATCGAACATTTTAAGTGGTTTTTTATATAGATATAGATTACTTTCACAACAGTCACATTTGCTTTACAATGAAATTATGAACTCTTTTTTTTTTTTTTTTTATGAGAGAACTGTCTAAGTAGGCCAAATTGGACCTAAGCATGCAACCACCCACTAATAAGTAAACCTGGTATAACAAATGACTTCAAAAACATCACTCTAAACAGTTCGATGTTAGATAGTTTTTCTTTAAAAATGGTACACAATTAAGGACAAGACTACGGTACTCACTCCGTACCGTACATCTAAATTTTATAATTTTGATGGGTTTTGATATAAGATTTGAGATTTGTTTCCTAAAAAAATTATACTACTTTTAAGATTTGAATTATAATTTTGTTGAATAGATTGCAACTTACCACAAAAATTATAAAAAAGAAAAAGAAAAATACTATTTACACTTAAAAATTTGACATAATGACGTGACTTCATTAAAATCATTGAATAAACATTAAATTTTAATATTTGATAGAGTTGACAGTTAATTCAAAAGTCACGGTAAATTAGATTCTAATAACATTACTCAAAAAAAAATTCATAAAATTTGTAATGACAATACAGTACTGAATTTTTCTTTTTTAAACGTGTAATTACATAGTATCATTGTTACATTAAATCTTGATAGTTGTATAGAGAGAGAGAGGAGGGGGTGTTCAATCGTACCCGGGAAAGACAGGATACTGGGAAAAGCCCCCATTCATTCTTGACACTGTGAAGATCGGAGCGACAGATCCCACAATACAATACTTTCAACATCACATCTTCACCTCCAGTTGCCCTGTAACATCACAAATACCCAATACATGTTGGACGATTCTAACACTCATATATATTATTCTATACAAATACATATAGAGAGAGAGAGAATGTTATTATATTCAATTCTTGTACATGCGTAACACTTATACCCCTACTTTAAATATATTCGTTAATAAATTCTACTTAAACCCTCTTGAAGTTTGTAAATATGTACTATTTAGATTCTTTAAGTTTAAAATATTATATTTAGATAAAAAATATTGTAATTAAATATAGAATATAAAATATTTTAAATTTTACAAAAAAAATTCATGCTCTATTGTATCATTTATTGAAATAAAATTAAAATTAAAATTTTAATTTTTTCTTAAAAAATTGTAATTAATATACAATTATACTATTTATTGGAATAAAACTAAATAATCAAATAAGGAGTCTAAGTCATTCATAATAGAACATGAATTTTACATCAAAAATTCATATTCTATTTATGTCATTTATTGAAATAAAATCAAAAATAAAAATTTAATTTTTTGAAAAAAAAAAATCATAGTTGGTATATAATTATACTATCTATTACAATAAAACTAAAAAATTAAATAACGAATCAAAATGTTATGCACACAATATCTTTTATTTTTTATTGGAGTAGTTTGGTATTTTAATTTGGTCATTTAAACAACTAAATTAAATTTCAATAAATAATATAATTGTATACTAATTATAATTTTTTAAGAAAAAATTGAATTTTTATTTGTGATTTTATTTCTATAAATGATATAATAGAACATGAATTTTAATATTAAAATTTAAAATATGTGATATTTTATTATTAATTGAAGTATTTTTGGTTTAAACATAACATTTTAAACTTAAAAGATTTAAGTAATATATGTTTATAAATTTTAGGGGATCTAAGTGTAAGTTATTAATGGATATATTTGTAGCAGAGTCTAAGTGTTACATGTGTACAAATTTTATAGAGTTTGTCTATAATATTTCAAATATCAAAAAGTCTAAATGATTAAATAATAAATTTTAAGAGGTCTGGATGTAATTCTGTCAAAATATTTTTTTTTTCTCTCTTGGGGGTAAAAAGACATTTTAAGGTTTATGGGCTGACGTCATTAGTGACCATCACTTATTAAAAAAAATTTCTTTTTGGGGGTAAAATGACACGTTAGGGTTTATTTTTGTCTTTTTGTTGGGGAAAAGATTCCAATCCACAACTTGTACTTACGTTGTTCAACAGATTTGATTCCATTAAAAATTTTTACTAGTCAATCCAACTCTAATTGATTAGTTAGAGTTAACATTTTTTTATTTAATGTTATAAACGTTATTTTGTCTTTCTGAGAAAGAGGTTTGTAAAACGCTATTTAATGGGATCCGTGCATCTAACAAGGTCATTGCTAATATCTTTTCAACAAAATAATATTATTGACAGTTAAACTATACATTTTAAATAAGTTATAATTTTTCTTGATTGATAATAGACTTTTGTGATCAATTATAATATTAAAAATTATAATTTAAATCCTTAAAATATTGACAGTTGATTTTTGGTACAGTACTAAAAGAAATATTGTATTTGGTGCCCTTTTAAAAGTTGAGTGTTTTTTTTTTTTTTGAAGACATTTCAAAGCAGAGTTAATAATTGCATATTATGTATATTGCAAGAAGGTGAATTGACATATTAAGCCTCGAAAAATTGTATAAATTTCTGTTTTCTAAAATAATTTCTGAAAATAAGGTAGACATTTTGGTGTAATTTAGTGAACTTAATCCTGTATGATTGATTGCATACTATTTAATTAGTCACATCCATACTAGAGTACGATATATTAGTTTTAAATTGCTCGCTTTTTTGTAATATTATTCTTCTGGCTTCCTTATTCTATGCCCATGGTTTGTTGTAGACAATCCAAGAAGAGTACAATTGAAGCTCTTGTCAGCTGACATTGCCTCGCGAGGGAGTTTGTTTTTTTAAAGTTAAAGGTGTAATTCTATCTTAAAGAATTGTAACTATATCTCAAGATATTATAATCTCGAGTAATGTTATAGAAACTTTTTTTATATAAAGATGAAATTTAAAATTGAATTCGGTTCATATCTATGTTTAGTATATAAATACATACACATGTAAGATCCACAGATATACCATAATTATTAATAATTATTTGTTCTATAAATAATTATTTTATTTTTGAGCAATTCAATTTGTATGCATGTTAAAGGGTATTATTGTCTTTTGAATCTTTAATTTTTCAAATCCATCTTTTTTTAGGTTTGATGAAATTTATGATTATGAATTTAATATTTAGAACAATTACAGACCAATTAATATGAGAATCAAAAATTATATTTTTAAAATAAACATGAAATATAGGGATCCTTTAAACTATTTTTTAACACCTATCTGCCTATACCCTTTTACCATGCAGCAGCCAAGGTCAAGGTATACCAAATCCTTATCTTACTTTATTTGATGTAAACTATCTGGTATTCGACAACCACAAGCTTTGACTGATCCAAATTCGAGTCAGTAGGACAACGGAGGCGGCGAAGCTGTCTATATCGAGTAATCCTTATCTTTTTTTTAACCGTCACTTTCTTTCACTTGTAGGACCCCTCTAAACTCTAAAGACAAGTGTGGGGTCCCCAACTATATTTATTTTCTGTAGACCCCACAATGTCTGCAGCCCCTTCCGGTGCCTCCCCCACTATAGCGCACCAAAAATTTTGTTTTATTGACAGTAGTGATGCACGATTGGCGTTGTATCGTGAATATATTTAAATAATATTTTTATATAAAAATTTAAATTATATGTGTAATTAAATCAAATAATAAATTATGTAGCTTTAATTAATTTTTATTTTAAAAATTTTAAACCTAATTAAAAGATAAAATTAAATTTTAATAGATAATATAATTGTATATTAATTATAATTTTTTAAGAAGAAATTGAATTTTTATTTGTGATTTTATTTTAATAAATGATATAATAGAATATAAATTTTAATAGTAAAATTTAAAATATTTAATATTTTATCATTGATTGAAGTATTTTTTGTTTAAATATAGCATTTTAAATTTAACAGATCTAAGTAATATATGTTTACAAATTTTAGGAGATCTAAGTATAATTTATTAACGGATATATTTACAGCAGATGTCTAAGTGTTACACATGTACAAATTTTAGGAGGTCTGTGTATAATATTTCAAATATCAAGAATTTTGAATGATTAAATAACAAACTTTAAAAAGTTTGAGTGTAATTCTCCCTAGATATTTTGTTTGTTTTTTTTTTTTTGTCTTTCTTGGGGGTAAAATGGCATTTTTTGGGCTGACGTAAAATATTGACATTACTTATTAGAGGTTTTTTCTTTTTTGGTGTAAAATGACATGTTAGGGTTTATTTTTGTCTATTTGTTGGGGAAGAGATTGGAATCCACAACTTAAATTAGGTTGTTCAACTTGTTATAAAAAATAAATAAAAAAAGAGAGAATTATACCCAAATTCTCTGAAATTTGTCACTTAATCACTCAAATCTCCTGACATTTGAAATATTATACACAAATCCCTTAAGGTTTGTATGCGTGGAACAGTTAGACCCCTGTTATAAATATATCCGTTAATAAATTATACTTAGACTCCCCTAAAGTTTGTTGGTATATAATACTTAGACCTTTTAAGCTTAAAATATTTTACTTAAACCAAAAATACTTCAATCAAATATAAGATATCAAATATTTTAAATTTTACAACCAAAATTCATGTTTCTATTGTATCATTTATTAAAATAAAATTAAAAAAAAAATTCTTAAAAAATCATAATTAGTATACAATTATACTATCTATTAGAATAAAACTAAAAAATCAAACAATGAGTCTAAGTCATTCATAATAGAACATGAATTTTATATCCAAAAGTTATGTTCTATTATGTCATTTATTGAAATAAAATCAAAAATAAAAATTGATTTAAAAAAAAACATGGTTAATATATATTTATACTGTCTATTAGAACAATACTAAAAAATCAAATAAGGAATTAAACTGTGATTGACACAATATCTTTTAGATTTAATTGGGATAATTTGGTATTTTAATTTGGTCGTTTAAATCACTAAATTAAATTCTAATAGACAATATAATTTTATACTAATTATAATTTTTTAAGAAAAAATTAAATTTTTATTTTTGATTTTATTTCAATAAATGATACAAATAGAATATAAATTTTGGTTGTAAATTTTAAAATATTTTATATTTTATATTTGATTAGAGTATTTTTAGTTTAAATACAATATTTTAAACTTAAAGGGTTTAAGTATTATATACCCACAAACTTTAAGAGAGTTTAAGTGTAATTTATTAGCAGATATATTTACAACAGGAGTCTAAGTGCTATGCGTATATAAACTTCAGGGAGTCTGTATATAATATTTTAAATGTCAGCGAGTTTAAGTGATTAAGTGACAGCCTTCAAAGAATTTGAATATAATTCTTCTTTTAAAAAAAAGAACTAGGTTGTTCAACAGATTTGATTCCATTAAAAAATTTTACTAGTCAATCCAACAGTAATTGATTAGTTAGAGTTGACATTTTTTTATTTAATTTTCTAAACGTTATTTTTGTCATTTTCAGAGAGAGGTTTGTAAATTTTTGTCTTATTGTTCAAAAAAAAAAAGAGGTTTGTAAAGTTTATTTTTTCCCTATTGTCTTAATGCCCTAACCATTAATATATGATAGGTTGGGAGAGGGGAATGAAGACGAAGGGGGATGGGATGCAATCTTCGTGCATCTAACAAGGTCATTGCTAATATCTAAATAACCCTTATTTATTTTATTGTAGAGAGTAGTAATCAAAAATCAAATTTTAATAGGCTCTATATTTATACTAATTAAAATAAAGAGTTTTTTTAATCTTAAGGAATAGTTCAACTAGTACTATTGACGAATTATAAATCTAAATATTTTGAATTCGAATCTTAATAACTATTTAAGATCAGACCATAAAAGATTCATTTGTCATTAATACTCTAATCTCCACATGAGTAGTCTCTGCTTTTGACTAGAAATCCCTAAGCCTTGTTTGACTCTCTATATTTGGAGAGTCTAACTCATTTTTTTATTTTATTTTTAATAAATAAAAAAAATAACTCATGTACATTTTTCATTAAATGTTATTGACTATAAACTTATTTTTTTATTAAAATAGAGAGCTCATTGAAATTGTCTAAAATATTTCACTTTTTATTTTAAAATTTTATTAAAGATGCCCTCCAAAATAACAAGTACTTATTAGAGATGCCTTATGTAAAAGAAACAAATGGTTGAGCAAATGTTTTGAGGAGCTTTCCGTCCTTTATTTTATAATTTTTTTTTGTAATATAAACTTACTTAATGGTGCTCGAAAATACTAGCTCAAGCCCAAGTCCTTGATTGGGGAATTACAGTGAGGAGGTTTTATGGATAAACGGACCAGTAGGGGATTATAGGGAATTACAGTGAGCGGTTCACTTTAATTATAAAATAAGTTTATTCCGTTTGGACTGGGGATGGACTATATGTATTAGACAGTAGATGTATACAGAGATACCTGTATAAACTCGTGCAAGGATGAAAGAGGGGATGAACTGACACTCACCCCCACTCCGCCCCCACTTTATCCGTTATTATTATTTTATATATATACATGTTACTGTGAATACAAATCTATATATTATTGATTGATTTTTTCTTTTGAAATTTGTTTTGTTTTTTGATTTTTTAATAGTTTTGGCTTGTAAAAGTGTAGATTTTGATATACTTGATGATCAAATTTCTAACATTCCTTATCTGTGGCGAGATTTTGATATAAAATTGTTGACATTAATAGCTAAAAAATGAGCTAAAGTGCTACTACCTTTTCCTTGTGTAATGGTAGATTAATGAGCTTGAAGACAAGTTCAGGGTGCAAGAACAACAGTTGGGCATGTACCCTAGCTTCAGATTCTGCTAATTCATTAAGATCCACTCCAACTGAAGATAAACGCTGTGTTAGAGACGAGACTATGAATGAGGCTGACCGCTATATTCTGAGGAGTTCAAACTCAACTAACCGCCAAATGAGTCGGGGGTCTAACTTGCTAAAGGGAAATGACTTCCTTCATGACATAAGAAGGAAAAGATTATCCAGAAATAGCGAAACAGAGAACATCATTGTATCGTCTTCTCTCAATGAAAAGAAGGCCAGGCAATCTGACCCACCGAAACCATTTCCCAGGGTTACAAAAACAGCAAACCCGGCAACAAATGCTCCACGACGCTTGACTCATATCCGAACAGACAGAGATCCCGTTCAAGGAGTTAAAGAGATGGATAGCAAGAAAAGGATCTGGTCAAGATAGCAAGGTGAAACTACTCGAAGCCAACTGGTAATTGTGTTGTCTTTTCAATTAACTCCTATCCTTCAGTGTGTAGTAGATTACTAGTGTGCTTGAGGTCAAACTAAATGTAATCCCCCATATGTATGTTATATTCTTGAGGGGAAATCAAATGTAATCTATTCTGGGAATGCTAAACTGTGACAATGTTATTCTTGCTGACCAGATTCAGTTACCAGACTAAGTAATGTATGTTTTGATTTTGTATTTTGAAAATTACAATTTAATCAACTCAAGTTCCAACTTGAATAAACAAAGGTATAACTCAATGACATTGTGCTGAGATCCATTATGACGACTTGTTAGGATCAATCCCATGTGTTTTAGGGTTGACTTCGTTCCATTTAAAAAGACATTTTTCTCGGTAACTCGCTTCGCTCAAGATATTTGGGACTAATAGATCACACAATGGTGCACAGTTAACTATTGACCTTCCATATCAATTGGTTATAATTTTATCTTCTTTTCGAAATGTAATCAAATTGGTATTATAAATTTTTTCATATTTGTTTCAAAAGCGTTATACATCGATACCACATGGTGAAATGTTGAACAAATGATGGTATATCAACTAGCATATTATACTTAAGACTCAAGTTATACCAACCGCTTTATGTTATCCCTTAAACATTCCACTTTTTCATATTGCACCTTAAACAAAAGGTTCAATGTTGGAGCAAGGTAAAATTCAAACCAATAGTTTAAGCACCCAGTTTTTAAACAACCGAACATACGATTACAAATTTGGAAAACAACTTTATTCAGTCACAATAAGTTGATTGTTGTAGTCCAAAAAAACTTGTTCAAACACCAAAAGTAGAGGACAAAATAAAACAATTGGATACTAAAGTCTCTGGATTTTCATTCTCATTTTTCCAAGTCTCGTTGATAATGAGGATAAATATGCAGTGATTAGGCAGCCTTCAGTGTGTTCCCAACGTCAATCACGAATCGATATCTAACGTCAGCTTTCACAAGACGTTCCATAGCAGTGTTCACATAGTCCATTGGAATAACCTCAATGTCCGCTGTTATGTTGTGTTCAGCTGCAAAATCAATCATTTCTTGGGTCTCCTTCATCCCCCCAATGCCACTTCCAGCCACTAACTTCCTCCCTGTTATTCCATAAACCAATGTAGAGTAGAAAGGATTAGATAGAAAACCATAGAACATGAATGGTGATGACAAAAAATGCAAGTACTCTGTTAGCCAAAGTTCCCATTGGTAATGGTCAAATACTTGCCCATGAGTAAAGGAAATACTGGTAGCTCCAATGGCTTCTCTGGTGCACCAACCATAACCAGCTTCCCATGAGATTTCAACAGACCGATCAATGGCAGGAGAGGATGAACTGCAGAGACTGTGTCGATGATACCATCCATTGTGCCCATAGCAGCCTATATATATTCCACATATCAGTATGAGAATTAGTATAAACTTGAGAGTCTCCACAAAGTTCAAACTGAAACATATTCAAAATAATGATAACCTGCATCTGATCTGGATCACGGCTGACCAAAAATGAATCAGCACCAATATGTTCAATGGCCTCCTCTTTCTTGCTTGGGGATGTACTAATGACTGTCACCTTGACCCCCAAAGCCTTTGCAAACTTCACACCTACATGTCCCAATCCACCTAAACCCACTACACCCACATGCATTCCAGGCTTGTCAAGTCCATAATATTTCAAGGGGCTATAAGTTGTGATTCCAGCACAAAGAAGGGGAGCACCAGCATCAAGAGGCAGATTTTCAGGCCAACGAACCACAAAGTGCTCATTAACAACTAAAATATCAGAGTAACCTCCATATGTCGGAGTTCCATCATAGTATGTGGAATTATAAGTAAGGATGAATTTGGGACAATAATTTTCAAGATCATTGGCGCAGTTGTCACACGAGTGACATGATCCAACCATGCACCCCACTCCAACTTTATCTCCAACTTTGAACTTTTTTACCTTGCTACCCACTTCCGTTACTTCACCCACAATCTCGTGCCTGCATCGATCAAATTTTAAATTCAAAAACGTGACAAGTAAAACTAACATAATTCATCATCTATCCTAATTTAAGTAAAAGACTAGAAACTGACTATTTTTTCGCATGCCATGTTACTTGACATAGCAGATTAGTATGGAAATTAAGCATAAAGTTTGTGAAGAGTTATTTTAGAGATTGCTACATCAGGAACATCAATCTTAATCTTTTATAGTAACTAATATTTACTATTGTCCCAAGAAAAAGAGGTTTTCCATTAGTAAAATTCCATCACCCTGCTTCCTGCCAACCTATATCTTGATAATTCCAAAAATACAATCACCACATCAAATGCTTCGCTTTTTTTTTTTAATGAGAGAACTATCTAAGTAGGGCCAAATTGGACCTAAGCATGCAACCACCCACTAATAAGTAAACCTGGTACGACAAATGACTTAAAAAACATTACTCTAAACAATCCGATGTTAGATAGTCTTTCTTTAAAAATGGTATATAATTTAGGACAAGACTAGGGTACTCACTCGGTACCGTACACCTAAATTTTATAATTGTGATGGGTTTTTTATATAAGCTTTGAGATTTGTTTACTAAAAAAATTATACAACTTTCAAGATTTGAATTATAATTTTTTTGAATTAAGTTATAATTTTTGTTGTAATTGCGATTGATACTAAAAATATTATGATGGATTGTAACTTATCACAAAAATTATATATAAAAAAATCATAAAATTTGTAATGACAATACGGTAATGAATTTTTTTTTAAAACGTGTAATTACATAGTATCATTGTTACATTAAATCTTGATAGTTGTATAGAGAGAGAGAGGGGGGGGTGTTCAATCGTACCCGGGAAGGACAGGATACTGGGAAAAGCCCCATTCATTCTTGACACTGTGAAGGTCGGAATGACAGATCCCACAATACAATACTTTGAATTTCACGTCTTCATCTCCAGTTGCCCTGTAACATCACAAATACCCAATACATGTTGGACGATTCTAACACTCATATATATTATTCTATAAAAATACATATATCAAGAGAGAGAGAGAGAGAGAGAGAGAGAGAATGTGATTATATTCAATTCATACAATATAATGAAGCGATCGAGAGACAGTGATTGAAGAAGATGTATATAGAATACCTTCGGGAGAATTTGAAGGGAGAGAGGACACCGGATGGGTCTCTAGCTGCCCATCCGAAAGCTTTCACTGGGTGTTGTTCCTCTGGTGATTTCGCCATTGGTCGACAAGAAACGAAGTGCAGAGAGAGAGAGACAGAGGGAGAGAGTTACTTTGATGAGGCAAAGGGAAAGTAGCAAAGTCCTCTCTATATACTTGAGAATGGGCTAACGTCATTGATGACGTAAGATATTGACCTCCTTATTAGATATTTTGTTTTTCTCCCCCTTTATTGGGGTAAAATGACAGCTTGGGGTTTATGGATGACGTCATCAGTGACGTAAAATATTGACTTTACTTATTAGAGTTTTTTATTTTTTGGTGGTAAAATGACATATTAGGGTTTATTTTTGTCTTTTTGTTAGGAAAAGATTCAAATGCACAACTTATACTAAGTTGTCCAACAGATTTGATTCCATTAAAAAAACTTACTAGTCAATTCAACTGTAATTGATTAGTTAGAGTAAACATTTTTTTTTAATTTTTATAAGCATTATTTTTGTTTTTTGAGAAAGAAGTTTATAAAGATTTATTTCTCATTAATATTCTAATCTTTGTATAGATTATCTTTGTCTTTAACCCGAAATCCCTGATTATTGAACCAAAAAAAAAACTAAACTTTATTTGACTCTCTGTATTCGGAGAGCCCAACTCATTTTTTATTTTATTTTTAATAAATAAAAAAAATAAGACATATACATTCTTCATTAAATGTTATTAACTATAAACATGTTTTTTTACTAAAATTGAGAGCCCATTGAAATTGTTTAAAATATTTTACTCTTTATTTTAAATTTTTATCAAATATATTTTTTAAATATAGAGTATTATTATAGATGCTCTATGGGAAAGAGACAAATGGATGAGCAAGAGCTTTCCGTCCTTTATTTTATAACTTTTTTTTGTTATGTAAACTTATTTAATTACAAAGCATGAATTCATCCGATCAAATTCCGTTAAGCTGTCGTATAACTATTTCTATCATTATTACCCATTTAATTAATTACTCATTTAAAATTTAACAACATTAGTTGAGCCCATTAATCGTTGATTTCCCATGAATCAAATTGAATAGGGTGGGATCATTGACGAAGAATTAACAACTAGATTTTCATCTTTGACAATTGCATTAGAGTAATGATATGTATCTTAAATTTGTAACATAAATTTGCATCTAAAATCAAGGAGAAGAGGGATTTTTTTGTATGGTCACCATGTTATTGCTAATAATACGTATAACTCTCTGAGGTGATTTAGTGGTTGAACTTGATTTTTAAAACACCCTCTAAAGGTTAGTCATTATTATCCTTTTAGGGATATTCCTTTAATCCAACTCTAGTGACGGTGGTCAATCATTGAATTCGTGAGAATAGTCAGTACAAGTTTTGACACCCCGTATCCAGTGTTTAAAAATTCGGCTCGACCCGACGGGTTAACCCGAAAAATAGGTGAATCGGTGCCTGAGCGGGGCCGGTCCCTTAATTGAATCGGTCTAACAAATAACCCGCTTGAGAATCATTTAAACCACCCTAAAACCGGTCATTTTCATGAAACCTGAAAAACCGGTCCGATTTTCATAAATCCAACAAATCCATTGCATTGAAACTCAAACATAAAATATTAAAATTTAACTTCAAGTCCAAGCTTATACCAGGCCCATCTCATCCAAAAGAGTTGACGTCAAGCCATCAAGTCTTGACAGCAAGAGTAGCAACTTGAAAAACCAACACTTTGTCTTTTACAGGTGCACAGTCTTCATAACTCGAGTTTCCGATGTGGGATAGAGTGTGCACTTAAACTCACATTATTTCTTTTTTTATCAATTTTTCTTTTGATTTTTTAGGCATCATATTATTACTATTTAAGTATTTATACTAAATATTCAATATTTCTTAGTGAAATATTTTATGCTCTATCAAATTATATCAATTATGTAAACAAATTAATGAATTGAGGATATTTTTTGTTTTTTTATTTCATTTACTATAACATAAAATATGTTATTTTTTGTAACTATTATAATTTTTTAGCATATTTATTATTATTATTATTATTATTAATTATATGACCGGTTCGATCGATTGACTCACGGTTGAACCAGTAACCCATTGACTCGATCTCTTTGCCAGGTTGGTGTCCGGGCCGAGTTTAAAAACTATGCCTGTATCAAATAAAAAAAATAATAATTGGTATAATCAAATCTTAATTTGTGAACTGAAAAATATTAAAAATTTAATTTGAGTTGTTAATTAAAAATATTAACATAAATTTAATTAATTAGACTGTTATTCAAAAAAAAATATCCGATCAAAAATAATCAATTTACCCATCTACTTACGTGGCACCCGACCTTTCTTCGGGGAAACAAAGATTAATAAGTTCATCATGTGCAGGGCGGTGCGAATCTTTCAGACGCAATTCTAATATTTTAAATAAAAAAGAAAAAGAATTCGAAATTATTTATATCAGTTGCCACCAACACCTTCTGGAACTTTTTAATATCCTAACCTTCTTTCTCAGCCAAACGTCACCCACTCCCTCTCTCTCCATGTTAACACTTTTCAAAAAAAGAAAAAAAGAAAAAACTAATTTATCAAATTAATTATTAGTAAAAAACAAATATTCTCACCTGCACCTTTTGGCTGGCATGCATTGGTATTGTACCCACTACCCACTATCGTACTTGTGCTGACTAAAAATATTTTTTCAGCGTAATATTAACAAATATTATTATTGACAGTTAAATTATGTACCTTTTAAATAATAAGTTATAATTTTTCATGATTAATTATAATTATAGTTTTTTGTGATCGATTATAATATTTTTAAATTATAATTTAAAGCTTTAAAATATTGAAATCTGTTTTTTGGTACAGTATTAAAAAAAGTACCATATTTGGTACCTTTTTAAAAGTTGAGGTTTTTTTTTAAGACATTTCAAAGTAAAGTTAATAATTACGTATCCTGTAAATTGCAAGAAGGTTAATTGAAATATTAAGCCTTGAAAAATTGTATAAATTTTTGTTTTTTAAAATAATTTACGACAAAAATGTAGACACATTGGTGTAATTTAGTGAACTTAATCCTGTATGATTGATTGCATTCTATTTAATTAGTCACATCCATACTAGAGTACTATATATTAGTTTTAAATTGTTCACTTTTTTCTAATATTATTCTTCTGTCTTCTTTATTCTAAGCCCGTGGTTTGTGTAGACAATTCAACAAGAATACAATTGCAGCTCTTGTCGGTTGACATTGCCTCAGTGAGTGAGTTTGATTTTTTTAAGGTGATTTGGGAGTTTGTATTAGGTCCCATTGCTGGGTAATTTTGCCATCGCGACTTTTTTAGGAATATAATAATTTTTAAACTCATGATATATCTCTGATGAGTTTTTAAACTCATGATATATCCCATGCTGGATATATCTCTGATGAGTTTATAAATGCACATCATACGAAACATAGTTTTATACAGTTTTCTACTGGTGTTAACAAGTCTATGGATCATTAGTGTTATTGTGACCCCATGTTTTTAGATATTCGATTTCACATATTCCTGCCTCCAAGAATATTAAAGTTCCCAAATATTCTTAAGCATTGCGTAGAGGTAAATTCAGAGTTCAAAGCCAGCAACTCAAATGTGGTGGCTGTCATTATTCTCTCAAAATTAACTTACAAGCACTTTCCAACTATATACGATCTCGCACACAATACAATACAAACACCATAATTTCTGAGGCCCACACTAGCAACGAGCCACGCAAAAAATTGGTAAAATACTTGGTAGGTAGTCCTGGAATTTGTAGATCAGGGGGCAGCCAGGGTGTTTCCGACATCTATGACAAATCGGTATCTCACATCATTCTTATGGAGACGATCCATTGCTGTGTTCACATATTCCATTGGTATAATCTCAACATCAGCAGTGATATTGTGTTTTGCCGCAAAATCAATCATCTCTTGGGTCTCCTTTAATCCACCAGCTGCACTTCCTCCCACCATCTTTCTTCCTGTAAATCATTTGTTGTATAAATTCTAAAATGCCAAAGACCATAAGCGAAACATTAACTGAAAAAGTTCTTATGCATGGTACATGTTATTGTTCTGCATACCGAGGATAAGTAAAGGAAAGAACGATAGTTCATCCGGCTTGTTTGGTGCCCCAAGAAGAATAAGCTTTGAGTGAGACTTCAAAAGATTAACCAACGGCCTGATGGGATGAACAGCAGAGACTGTATCAATAATACCATCCAAAGTGCCCATAGCACCCTGTATTACATAATTGAAAGTAAGAACTTCAGTGTTCAGGTAATCCGTGACAAAAAAACTATCAAATTTCCTTTGATGGTCAGTTGAGATTATACCAGTCTTCAACCAGATGGCTTATTCGAAAAAAATCTCAATTAACAACCATAGGGAACACCAATTCGAGTAACTAAAAATAACATCAACCTGTAATAACACAAACAAATTGGTTACCTTCATTTGCTCTTGGTCACTGCTAACTAGAAACGAGTCAGCACCAAATTGAGTAATAGCTTCGTCCTTCTTGTTAGGGGAGGTGCTGATAACTGTCACTTTCAGCCCTAAAGCCTTTGCAAATTTCACACCCACATGACCAAGTCCACCAAGGCCTACAATTCCCAAGTGCATTCCCGGTTTGTCAAGACCATAGTATCTCAGTGGACTGTACACGGAGATCCCAGCACAGAATAGTGGAGCACAACCAGCAAGTGGCAATTTCTCTGGAACACGAACCACAAAGTGCTCAGTTGCAACCATTTCATTAGAGAACCCCCCACATGTGCGGGTTCCATCATGATAAGTAGCGTTGTAGGTAATTATCTTTTCGGGACAGTAATTTTCAAGGTCATTGGCACAATTGTCACAAGAACCACATGACCCAACATAGCACCCCACTGCCACTTTGTCTCCAACTTTGACTTTTGTTACCTTGCTTCCTACCTCTGCAGCTACACCCACAATCTCATGCCTGAAGGGACAATGATCATAAGTTATAGCACAATCCAATAAGTCCAGACTTACTATGAATCAGTATTAGAAATGTTTACAAGTCCAAGGATTTGTCTTATAAAATTAAATTCCAATAGATTAGGATGATTTGGAAACAAAGTTAAAAAGATGTATTTTGTGCTCTGATGGACCATATTTTGTATCAAAAGGGAGGGCTCCACGTCACATGGGTGTATCATAATAAAACCCATAATTTCTATTGAGACAACACAAAACTGTCAGCCTTCCTGATTGACCAATTGGAGTCCAACACAACGTTTAATACCTACAAAGACACATATCCCAAGAAGGTATCAGTTCAGGGAATATGATTTCTCCAAGGTAAATAGCTCTCCATTTCTCTATAAAGATGGGTGAACACCCAAAGGTAAGGGGACTTCAAGTATGAGCACCTCGGCTCCATACTTCACACACACTTTTTACCATTTCTCTAACTTTACACACAAGCCTATTCATGTGTTGATCACAATACTGACTTAGGCATCAGAGGAGCCTCCTCTGGCTCAACGTCGAGGGTCCTTCTAACCTCTCTCTGATTTTACAGCTCATGGATTTTGTGATATTCGAAGACCAAGGGTGCACCTCAACACATTTTAGTGATTGTGCAAATTTTTGCCAACACAATTTGGTGCCGTCTGTGGGAAATGAAGCAGGTGTGTCCCCTAGATCTGTATATCAACTGGCTCGTGAGCCCTGCCCAAGCTAGAGATTACTGGTGTATCTCGTTCACTCACATTGGTTCAAACTTTTATTGTTCGGTCTTTCTTACAGTCAAATTGTAGCACTCGGTCTGCCTTTCAAACTCACAGAAATACAAAATCACCGTGTTTATTGCATGGCCCACCATAAAGGCCTCTTCATGAATCTAGTTTGCCCCAAATCTTATTCTTGAAGTTCCAATACATTTATTTGGTTGGGGTGTTCAACGTACATGATCACCAAAGATAAGATTATTGGCTACAAGGAAAAGAACTAGCCCAACATCAACTTGCATGTTCAGAGGTTAGATGTAAATATTCTCGCAAGCAGAATCTGAGAGAATCTTGAATCGTCCAACCATGGACTTAGATTTCACAAGGTACGCTTTTATTTAAACATGACTTGAACATGATTAGAAAAGACAAGACTTATCGTCGAGGTCATCACCAGCCTGAGATTATCGAGGCCAAGGGATATATATGTTCGGGCCTTCTCTTATGACCCTAATGGGCCAAATTTACTCAATATTTCTTTAAGTGGACAGATTTATTTGGGCCATTTTTAAGGGTCAGCGGATGGGTCTTCCTCAGACAACACCCAACAATCCTTTTTTTGGGGATTCAGTTATTATCCTTCTCGGAATTTGAATATTATTATCTTCTTTGGATGCGATTGAGGTTCAGTTATAGTCGTCCTATTCAAGACTCGACTCTCTCAAGCGGCATCTTATGGTTATATTTGGTATTCTGTTATTTATCCCCTTAATAAGACATTTCAATAATGCTCGGCTCTCTTTGGCAGCATCTTATGGTTATGCTTGGGATTCAATTATTCTACCTTTGAATGAGACACCTCATTATTACTCGATGTGATGGGTTTCTTATATGTTCATTGTTATTAGTTGGGCCCACCATTGTAATGCCCTTATCCTTCTAACCTTATCCTTCTGATCAGGCATGAAAGTATCAATTACAATATCTGACAAACGCATTATTCCGATTATAGAGATTATCTTCGAGCTCTACATATATTGATCTTGGTATTCTATTCAGAATGAAAAAAATGCATTAGAACTTCATGCATGTTATTATCTATTTGATTCGGGCTTCATGATCGCTTCGATGACATATGGTAGATCTCGACATATCTATACTAAGCTATATCTTATCAAAGGCAACATGAATATTCTTCGAAACTTTTATTCCTTTCCAGTATTACGAAGGAAATAAAAACTGGAGGGTAGTTGATGGACCATATTTTGTATCAAAGGAGAGAGCCCCACATCACATGGGTGTATCATAATAGGACCTATAATTCCTCTTCTCAAGGCAACACAAAACTGTCAGTTTTCTAGATTGACCAATTGGAGTCCAACACAATTTTTAATACCTGCAAAGAAACATATCTCAAAAAGGTATCAGCTAAAGGAATATGACATCTCCATGATAAGTAGCTCTTCACTTTATCTATAAAGATGGTTGAACACCCAAAGGTAGGGGGCCTCGAGTATGGGCACCTCAGCTCCATACTTCACACACACACCTTTTAGCATTTCTCTAACTTTACGCACTAGCCTATTCATGTGTTGATCGCAATACTGACTTAGACATCAGAGGGGCCTCCCCCTGGCTCAACATCGGGGGTCCCTCTAACCCCTCTCTGATTTTGCAACTCATGGATTTGGTAATATTCAAAGACCAGGGGTACAACTCAACACATTTCAGTGATTGTGCGAATTTTTGCCCGCACATGCTCCAAATTTGAATTTTGACGGAGCTACATAAGATCTTGTTTCATGGATTCTTTTTCCTTTTCACCCCTTTGCCTCAAAGAAATGTTGACATGAATGTGGCTTTCCTCCCTAGATAAAAACTGTTCTTTCTTTAGAAGATCCATATTCTAAAGAATAAAATATCTGATAGGAAGATGAAGATCCATGTCTCTTGGTTCAATTAGACAAGTTGGCAGTGATACTGAAACATGAAATAATATATGGTGGGGCTCTATTTTCATATCCCACAAATATCTATTCTTAGCCCATTAAATTTTTTATAATCAAACTAATTAGAGTAGGTGGAGAGTTAAAAGAGACCGTCACACTTGTCTATGCCAAGGATAATCGAAAGGGATAAGTAAGATAAGCAGATTGGATAGAAGGAACTTGAGCAGCCTGTTAACAAATAGACGAATACATTGGACAGATGGTAGGTGAAAAATGCTTTCAACAACCAAAAAAATCATCCTTTACAGTGGAAAAGTAATCTGGATATTTATAGCACAATGTCTGGGTAAGTCGGGTTGGCCGAAGGGCTGTCCGCCGTGACCTCCTACCATTCACGCGAATCTACAATTGCCTTGACCATGACGATACCAGCAGCTGTTAACCACAAGCCATGTGTCCCAACATTAGCTAAGCAGATGTGATAGTTACCCAAACGCAACCTAAACGTGGCTCCGAGGAATGTGCAACAGTCAAGGTAGTGGGCTCCGAAGGTCCACGACTGAAACTGGTCACCGCGGGACCATGACCTCGAGAGGACCATGTCCGTGATGCACCCAGTGCGATCCTGCCCGACGTCTTTTTCTTTCCCTTTCTGAACCCTTCCACGAGACTTTTGTCAAGCTGTCTGATAAAGGAAATCCACATAGTTTCGGTCCTTCAGCCATTAATCTACATGTCTCATCATCTCATATGGTGATCCGAACCAATAACTCCAGTTACTTTATGAGTCCCTCCGGATCCCAACCAAGCATATCCCAGTGAGCAATGAGCCATACACTGGGAGGCTTGCTCGAGAAGACTAAACTTTTGAGACCCTGCCCTAGGCCGAAGTTGACAATCGTGCTCGTCTGCCCTTGTTGTTTAGGTCTTCCTTGAGAAGAGCAATATTCCCCCACCCTCGTTGATGCAGTATTGCACCTGAGGGCGTCGCGCTTTGGGCGTCACAGCGTGGTTGTCGTGCCTGGGGGAGTCACACCTTGGGTGTCGCATTTGACACTTTTATCTATATCAGTCCAGTTAGACACTGTCGGGCTCCATGTCCATGTCAATTGATGACTCGTGCCACTTGTCTTGTTATGGTGGAGACATATGTCTAAATTTATCGAGTACTACACCACCATTTCTGTACCCACTCTATTTTAATTAAATTCACTTCAAGCTATACATACCCCTTTAATAACAAGTTCATCTTCTATTTTCTCAAAATTAGGGTTTTATTCATTATCCCCTCTCATACATCCCACACGAAAGAGTTTTTTCAATATGAATTTTTCCAGTGAGATATATGTTAGAATTATTTTTTGGTTTAATTTTTTGTTTGATTTCATGTGTACTATGTGGATTTACATTATTATTATTATTATTTTGGTATTCTATGACGCTTAATAAGTTTTGATTTAGGGTTTATATGTTTGTGTTATCTCTTTATTTATACAAGTTTTTTACAATAAGAAGGAAAAACAAAGCACAGTAAATTCTTGTGTTAGTTACTAATAGTTATACATATAAATTATTCTCATTAGTATACTTAACAGATTTCTTTGATCCAATTTGTGTCCATTCATAGAGAAGTTAATATTGTCACCCACATAGCAACACAAGCTGCTGCTACTCCACCTGCTGCTCCTTTTGTTAATATAATGGAAGTTGTTTTAACAGAAGTTATAATAGACTTGGATAATGTATTGATATAGAAATTGATATGCTCATCTTACTTATCAATCTATATTAAAAAAGTTCTATTATCTAGGGTGTATGATAAAAGATAGTGAATTAAACCTTAGTTATGAGAAGTTAGAAGGTGGGGGTCAATTCTGAGTACTACTTCCCCTTCTGCTTAGGTAGAGAATAAAATTTCCGAGGACCAAAAAACATAAAATAAAAAATAAACAAAAAGAACTTGTCTTACCCGGGGACAACAGGATATTTTGTTCCACCCCAGTCATCCTTGATCCTGTGAAAGTCTGTGTGACAGATGCCACAATAAAGTACTTTAAATCTTATATCCTCCTCTCCCGTTGCCCTACATAGATATATATTGCATGCCCAAACATTGTCAGCATAGCTATATTTGATTCAGCTTCATCATAGAAGAAGCAAGCATGAAAAAACTTTAAAGAGAACAAATAATTAAGTACAATTTCTTTGTCCAAACAACACAGCATTGATACAGAAGTACAAACACTTGAGCAGCAATTTGGATTTACTTCGTTACACTTTCTATGTGTTTAACCAGAACCCACCATATATAACACTAGATAAATATGGCCAAAGTCAAGTAAAGAGAGAGATTAGAGGCAAATAAATGTAGCACAGCCAAAAACTGTTTGAGGCAAATGAACCGACACAAATTTTCTCTATTTTGCTCCGTGGATTCAGAGTGTTCCTGTGAAAGTGTTTTTATTTTTCTCTATTTTCTCAATACATAAAAAAAATCATAGTGTTCCTTGTTCCATTGCATCAACTATACAGCCCAAATGTTAATAGCAAAATGTCTCAATAAATCAAAAGCAACACTAGAAATTATTTCAATCAAAGGAAAAAAAAAAAGCAAGAATAAATCAGAATAAAACACCTTCAGGAGAAATTGAAGGGAGAGAAGACTCCAGACGTTTCTCTGGCTGCCCATCCAAAGGTGTTCACTGGGTGTTCTTCTTCGGGTGTTATCCCCATCATCAACCACCCATTTTGTCTAATTAAAAATAGATCTCAATTGGTTGTCTCGATATACATAAAATATGTATTGACATACATATACACACAGCACAGGTTGGGTGGCCAAACATAAAAACCCATGAATCAATTTTTTTGAACCAAAAACTATCGCAAATCAAATCATTTGCCAAATATTATTTTAAAAAAATATATATTCAAAAATTTTTCACCAAAACATTTTTCGACTAACAACCTTAGAGAATCTACCCAAAATTTACCAACAAATATCCAAAAAAAACATTAGCCACCCAAATTAACCAAATGTATAAAGTGAAATGAAATTGGGGAACAACATATAACTATTTGCAAGTTATTTCACAATATCTTAATCCAAAGTCCTCACAAAAAGAATTCTAATTTGTGCCTCAGAGAGATATTATTGTTTGAAAGAAGGCAATTTAATTTCATCATACTATATTTATTCTCTTTGCTCCTTTTTTTTTTGGTACTGTAGGATTTCACTTTATTCGGAGGTGCTGGATCTACTTTAGCTAGTTGTTAATTTATGATTGGATTAGTGTAATCGTTACAACGAATAATTTCTCGAACAGAAGAACACAATCTGTACAACGATCGACTAAAATCACAGAGAAGTTGTATACAACTAAATGCATATTTTCTAAAGAAGAATTTAGAGCTTCACGATCACCGTTCTATAATGAGAGACAAAACATCGAAGTGAAGTCACTCAGGGCATAGTTATAACCTACGCTCACAGAGAGATTCGAGGAAATACCTTCTGGAGAATTTCAAGGGTGAGAGTACACCAGATGAGTCTCTAGCTGCCCATCCGAAGGTCGGCACAGGGTGCTCCTCTTCTGGTGATTTTGCAGCCATTTTTGTACGAATATAGCATCCAATTGCATATTAAATTGATATTCTGCTTTATTATATAAAAAATTAGATAATTGAAAAATAACATGCGTAAAAATGAAAAATGAAAAATGAAAATAGAAAGATATATGTGTGATAAAAATCAAAAGAATAAGATAAGCAAAGAGTGTATTGGTTTAATGGTAAAATGATATTTTTTATCTTTTAAAAGATTTGTCTTCTTGATGTCAAGAGTTCAAGTCCCGCTCCCCTTTCCCCTTTCCCCCGCCCAAAAAAAAAAAAATTTGGTAAAATTATAATAATCAACAAGAAATAACTTAAGATATAATTTATATAGAAGATTGAATATTCATATAAATGACTAATAATTTTCTAAGAGTCTGATGTGATTCTTATTCACAATAATATGAGTATAAGAGGTAGTTAGTGATAAAGTCGAAATTAAATTTGAATGGAAAAAATAAAAAGAAATGGTAGACTTAAAATTTAGATAAAAAAAGGGGGAGAATTATAATCAGACCTATGAGATTTGTCACTTAATCACTCAGATTCCCTGACATTTGAAATATTACGTACAAATCTCCTGAAGTTTGCATACACGTAACACATACAAATTTCCTGAAGTTTGCATACACGTAACACTTTAATCCCTACCGTCAATGTCTACTAGAATATTCATTAATAAACTACATGCATGCTCCTTGAAATTTGTATGCGTATAATATTTAGATCTCTCAAGTTTAAAATGTTATATTTAGATAAAAAAATATATTAATCATAGATAAAATATCAAATATTTTAAATTTTACAACAAATAATCATGTTATATTATGACATTTATTGAAATAAAAATTTAATTTTTTCTTAAAAAATCATAATTAATATATAATTTCAAAATGCGTATTGTGCATTACACTTTTTATTCTCCATCTGACGTATAGTCATTCAATATGTATTGTTCATTATTAAAGACATTATTATGCTCAAGAGATGTTAACTTTCGTCCATTTGCAGTTTCTACTGTGTATGTTACAAGTTAGAACATATAATATCGACACATACACACCAACATTCTATTATTCCTATTATTCTGCTTTCTGACTTGACTAATAGTTGATTCATAATCTTTTCTATTCATTCTTTGCATCTTTGGCAATCATCAACTTGACACCGGTATACCAATTGCTCTTCGTTTAGTACATAATTTGTCCGATTCATTAATGTGAAATGCTCACTCTCGCCGTATTTCAACATACTACTCTTTGAAGTTGTAAATTTTTCAATTTTGTAATCATCTGCTCTTTCAACAACCGGACCATTTGACGTGTGTGATTGTTTGAAACTATTGAGCCTCTCCATGCAGACATAGTTAGTGTATATGACATCATAAGGTGTCAACATTATAGTACACAATAAAATTTATATAAGTCAAAATTCCTATTTGTTATTCATTCTTTCATGCCGGTTGAATTATAATTTTAAAATTTATTGATTTTGAATGTGATTACTAACATTTGAGATATATTGAAATTTTATTTATACTAGCTATGCACCACATGCGTTGCAAGTAAATAAATTTAAATAATGTTATTTTTAAAAAAAATATAAATTATATATGCAATTAAATTAAATAATTAATTAGGTTCCGAATAATTAATCCATATTTTAATTATTGATTTATTCTATAAGGTTTTGAATATATAATCTGTCATTTATTTAAGTATCTCTCTGATCCCTATAAACATTTACACATCTAATTATATATTATAGAATTACTAATCATTGTCCGTACTTGAAAACACGGTGTTACTCGCAAATTAGTAACACTGAAATATAATAATTCAAATATCTGAAAAATTATGTTATAACCACCGAAACATAATAATTCAAATAGTTGAAAAAATATATTAGTTGACAATATTTAATGTTCTATTTTTGATTCAAAATCGACGATTTCTACATTCATAATCAATTTTATCTAAATAATAACAAAATTCATAACTAATAGAATGAAAATTAAAACAATACTCCCACAAATAAACTAAGTCTGCAGATATTGTCAAATGACCAAATATAATTACCAGAAATTCAATCGACTTCTAAAATATATGACCTAAAAAAAAAATTACAATTAGGTGTTTATTTATTCTCTAAAAACATACATTTTTTCTTTTATCCACATTTAAATAATAAAAACATAGAGAAATAATGTTTACCTAAAAAATATTGCTTCATCTGTGGAGGTCTTGTTCATAATAGGTTCAGTTGAGCCTCCACGTCTTCTAACGCTCGTGAACAGAGTATGTCTTCTTCGATATTTGCTAATGTCTCCTCCAATTCCATCATATCTATAAAGTCATTCTCAAACTTCTTATTGATTTCGTCAATTGACCACGTAGATGGAAGCGTGTTAACAACATCATATAACATAATTGGATTATTCGACATAAAACTTTCTTGTTGCAGTTTATAAAATAATTGTTCTTTCTTTTTTATATGATCTAGAACATTCGTCTCTAGACCCATTTTTTCTTGCTCAAATTGTATCCATAATGGATGGATATCGCGTTTCGCTTCCACCAATAATTGTACAAACTGTACTGCATTGGTTGGTTTGTCGTCTAAAAAAAATTTTTCCATTGCAAAATTCCAAGTTGTCGGAAGGGTCTCTATTATTTTATGCATAATATAATTATCACTTATATTTTTCCCTGTCATTTGTAACATACGACATAATTCAACCTTTTTCATCCCAAACTTCGAGATTGGGGTTCCATCTTCAAACGATTTATTTTCAAAATTTTCTTGTATGCCTGATAGAGCCACACGCGTACTATGACGTACAAATATTGGAAGTCGTTCCATTATATCTGTACATAATATAAAAGATACAAATTAAAATTGTAATAATCACATTAGCAATGGAGTAATAAACATTACAACAAACAAAATAATATTTTGTCACCCATGTGATTTAATAAAAATAATATAACACCAACATAAAAAATTGGAATAATGATTAGGAATTCGAAATTACAATAAAATCAAGACACCAACAAAATATACCAAACCATACATGAAATTCGTAGAATAATTATTCAAATCACCATCATATCATAATACTATCACTACAGACATAATAGTAATAATTGCAATCATGCAAATAATTAAGTATCAAGTTTATATTAAAAATTCTAGAATCAAACATGTGATCTATCTTCATGGAGATATAGTTAATAGATTAGCCTTCCAGTAGGTCTTTAAACTTTCTCTTCATCACTTTCCTGAATGTTCTTGTGTCAATACATATGCGAAACTGCAAGTTTGGAGAATGCACAACAACCTAGTTTTACATAAAGAAAGAAAACCAAACTTTAGTGATATATATTAGTTGTAAAAGAATAAATCTCGTTGCAACAGTATAAGAATCGGATTACATTATTACAATATCCCCATCGGTGAAGTCGCGCTATATTTATTCTTTTCATCGCTTTAGCCAATTTACACCAATCCTACAAATATGAATTATAATATAAAGTTATCGTGATTATTTTAATTCAATATGTATTCAATAGGAGCTATTTGTAAATAAATGGTACCATTTGTTTGCTATTGAATATGAAGTTCTATAATAGAACTTCAGGGTAAACGATGTTTGATGTGCAATTCGACACATTTTCAGGAAGAAGAACACATATACGATCAGAAGATGTGCATCTGGATAATGCCACATACAAATGTCCATGGCTAAACACCGGTGTGCGCAGATCAACCCCAACAAATTTTACAGACTGTCATTGAGATTTATTGATTGTCATAACATATGTTAATCGGACAGGAAATTGACGTCTCGTCATCTGAAAAGGCAATTCTGAAGATGTTGGTGACAAAGATATTCTTGGATATTTATCACCATTTAAAATTTGAGCTTCAATCACACGCGTGGTACATCTAACAACCATCAATCGCGTGTCATTACAAAGCCCTTCCTTCGACGCTATATTTCTCAGCAACATTATTGGGCTATCCACTTTCAAATCTAATTTAAACGGCGATAACCCAGCAGGGTTTAGAGAGTTTAAATACTCATTAGGATATCGATTAGTGATCGATCGATCAAGTTTATCACCCTCTTCCATTTTGTCAGCTGCTAAATACGTAATTATCTATCTCGGTGAAATATTCATTGCTGCGGCATTTATAGCATTCACGTCGTCATTCCTTGCAGAAAGAATTGTGCGCTCGGTTAGGAAGTCTGGGATAACTGAACCAACCATATCTAAATGTGGATAAATTCTAAATATTAATTCTCGAAGAGTATAACACTTTTGTATTGTTGATGGAAGTTGTACGATTTCTTGTGGGTTTGTTCCTATCTAAAAATTAGAAGTGAAATTAGAGAAGATAAATTGATAATAATTACAAAAAATAATATTTTATATTCTGATTGATCAATGGAATATTACCTCCATCAAGAATTTTACAAATTCAACATTTTCAGAATTTGTGTTAGTTAAGCGCATGTTTAACCCCAAAGTCAAAACTTGTACATCCCTCCACAATACAGATCGCCTCAATGACGCACCTACAATTTGCTCGCAAACTCTTTTCGGTATAACTGTCAAGATTTTTCAAAAGTCTCCACCTAGAATAACTGTAATACTCTTGAATGGCTTTTGGTTATCACAAAGATCCTGAAGTGTACAATTTACTGCCTCAACACAATACCTATATTGCATAGGTACTTCATCCCATATTATTAGTTTAGTCGATCTGAATAATTCTGCATGCATCGATTGTTTGGTAAACCCACAAATTGAATTTTCAAGCACATCCAAGGGAATGCAAAATGTTGAATGTGTTGTGCGGCCCCCCATTAATAATAAAGATGCAATATCGGAAGAAGCCACAGTAACGACGATATATCCAGAGCTGCGCAATTTTTTAGCAACTGTATTATACACAAACGTTTTTTCCGTGCCGGCGCCCCCATTCAAGAAAAA